TCGTCTACGACTGACCGTCTACCCATTAATAGCTTGAGTCAGGTCCGGGTTTGGTCTGATAAGGATTGTTTGGGTTTATCTAGGTCTGGCTGAGAATTGTTTACTTTTAGTTATTGAGGCTAGATTAGATTGGACGTGTGGAAGTTGGTTTTGGATTATCTAAGGTCGGATTTGGGATTGGTTTACTATTATTCTTTCGGTTAGATTAGGTATACACAGGTTTGTTTGGGATTATCTAGGTCTGATTGGGGATTGGTTACTTGGGTTAGGTTAGATCAGGGATTGTTTGGATTGTCTATGTTTGATTAGGGATTAGTTACTATTATTCTTTGAGCTAGGTTGAATCAGACGTATGTAAGTTTGTTTGGGATTATCTAGGTCTGATTGGGGATTGGTTACTATTACTTTTTAGGTTGGGTGGAATTGGGACGTATATAAAATTTGCTTCGGATGATCCAGCAAGGTTCTGAATTATTATTGCTTCTGCGTTTTGTTCGATTAGGAATATACAGGTTTACCCAGTTCATTCGCCTGTGACTAGAGTTTAGTTACCATTACCTTTTAGGCAAGGTCCGATTAGGATAATCACGCCTGACTAGGGTTGCAGTACCATTAGACTTGCTCAGGACTCTGCAGACTCCTTTAGGTTCGTTCTGGTTCGACTAGATTACAGAATTAATAAAAAATCTAGTAAATTTCTCTGCTTGGCAAGTTGCATTCGGATCTATGTACCCAACATCGAAAGTCTTAAAGGTCTCGAAAGTCTAAAAGACTCCGTGGGTTCCGAGTGTTCTGGAAACATTGTAACTACTAAGAGCTCTGGAAGCTATCCAACTCCGTTTAAATCCCGAAAGTCAGTCTAGGACCTAACTGAAGCTCCTAAAGTATCTTCCGGGATCTCAATTCTATCGAAAGTCATCTACGTCCGACCAAGACTACCTAAATCTACTTCTATATCTCCTAAGACAGAATTTCTCAACCCCTACAGCGGCTGAAGTCCTGTTACTCCAAATTGGCAAGAATTGAAATTTTCCTTATTCTCTCACTCCCCCGCACCCCAACGTCTCACTGTTCCAACTGTCATCCTCTCACGTGTTTCTCAACGTACACGGACCCTTGGATTCCCTATTTCTCTCCCCTTAACGGGACATACGTACGACCCTTCTCTATTTGTATCGTAACCTCCCCGACCTTCCTTTTATCTTTCCCTGCGCGTTCAACCCCCCTTTCAGTGTGCCCTCCCTGTGCTCCCCTAGCCCACTGTCTCTGTCCCTTTCTCTCTCTCTCTTGCGTCCTCCCCCATGTTTCCACTTTTATCCCAGTCCCCCGTTTCCGTAGTCCGTTTCAACCGTGTGGCATAAAATCGAAATCGTTCCGATATCGGCAATTCTTCGGTTAAGTTCTACAGAGTGATTCATAACGATTCCTGTTTTTCGCCTGAGGAACTTTTTCATGTACCGATTCGTCGAATCCAACTGATGCTCACGAGACAGGGATAGAGTACACAGGTTTCTGGAACGTTATTTCGGCTACTAGACTAAAATGACCACGCGACACAGAGGTGTTTGCTGAAATGGATAGCTTCGAGAGTAAAATATAAAAGTATGTCCCATTATTTCTCCAACTACTAAAAATGCGAAAAAATCGTTTCAAACAGCGTCAACGTTGTCAGATCTGCTTCGTCAGTTAACTACACCGGTGAATTTAATATTCTATTTTCCTACGGCAATTCTTTATATTAAATATTATAGTAATAATAAAAATGATTATTATTACTCTCATAGCATCATACCACCCTTTATATTTATCACTGTACTGAGGATTCTCTGCATTTATAGTTCATAGGGGTCTGTGAAATACAATAAAAGACAAAACTTTCATTGGATCCACCGATTTTTCTATTTTACCCTGAACGCAATAAGATACTCAAGAAAACATATAAATTTCTACATATGCTCCTATCTGTATAATTAATTTAGAAAATATTATTTCGCATAAAAATCCTCAGTCTATTTATCACTCATTAACGAACTCCAATTGGACTAACACGGTTGGCCAGGGACTACCGTTCAATTTCTCTAACCTCCTCTAATTCCCTCTTTTTCACCCGGGACCATGGTGTTCCTCTCGTTCGAAAACTTTCATCCTCCCCACTCTCTCGACTTCCGACTATGGTTTTAGTTCCTAGTTTCTCTCTTCTCGTCTCTGCGCCACCGTTTCGTTATCCCAGACCCAGCCAGCCGAACCCTCTCTCGGCGCTCTTCGTTCCGCTTCTTTCTGCACACAATGTTCCCCCTTCCCCTCGTCTCCATCATCCGTGTTTCGCTGCTCCTAGACCAACCAGCCCCCGACACGACCTTCCATTCGTAGCGTTCGCGGGCGTTTCTCCTCCACTGTTTAAACGCGACTCTCTATCCCGGCTTCCCTTGATCTTTCCCTTTGTCCTTGTATCTCTGTGTTTGTAGTTCCACCGAGCCCTTTTGTACCCCCCACTCCCGTCGATAACGTCTTCGTTCCACCGTCCCTGGCCACCGTTTCGTCTCTTGTTCTCGTTTGGCTCCACTCTTCACAGGGATATCCTTTAATCTTCCTCTACGTTTGTGTCTAGTTTTTCGTTCGTGTTCACCGCCAGGCTGTCCACAGGTTCGTGCTACCTTCGTAGTGGAAGAAAAAACAGGTAAATCTCTGGACACGCAATTTTCTTCTGAACGATTAATTGTATCTTCTTCAAACGTTTTTCTCTTTTAAATCGTGTGTCTTTGAAATGACTACGGAGGAGGATACATCAAATGTTACAACACTGTATTTTATCAGGTCTTTCGTAACTTTTATCATAATATGAAAATAAAGAAATTAGTCGATTTATAAGTTTGTGAATTTGCAAAAGATTTCGATGTTGATGGATCCAGTAGAAGAAATACGTGAAACATGTGGTCTGGTAAAAATTATACATTTTAGGCCACGTTTATCAGTGCATAATATCATAAGCGTTATTCAATGACCCCTAAAGAATATTCATTTCCATCTTTCAGCAATTTCGTATGTTCAATGTAATTTCTGTATTGTTCAAATGTAATTTTATTTCAAATATTCAAATAAAGGTTAAACCGAATGTTAATTTGGCATAAATTTCAGTAACTCCGAGATCAAGTAGTAGGAGGTCTTTCCCTTACATCACTTAGTCCCTTAGAGGAAGGTGAGTTTGCTCACGAGGGTATTTACCCTATATCGTAAATCGTCGGTTTATTTTAGCGTTAAATTGGTCAGCCTGGAACTGCAAAAAACAGTTAATTTCAGATTGGTCTTCACTTCGTGCAGCGTCGGATCAAGGGGGTCAAGGGGGGCTGTAGCTCCGGGCCCCACGTTCCAGGAGGGTCCCGTTCTGAACCTTTCACGTCGCTATAATTAAATGTTATTTAATTTTATTTAAAATAAAATTGAATGGTTCAAAGTTTTATGCATTTTGTTGTGCTGTGTTACAAAAAATTCCTCCACCCTGCTTTTTAACTAAGGAGGCCCCCGAAAATCTGATATTCCTGGGTCACAAAAAACCTCAATCCGGGCCTGAATTCGTGGACCGTCATGTGTCTTCCCTATCCTGGTCTCCCATGTCTCAGCCACCCCCAAGAATCATGGATCCTCTTTGTCTTCCTGACGTAGCCTCCTGTTCGTAGTTTCCAGCCTGACGTCGTGACTTGTTCTTCCCGTCGTCGTTGTCACCTTACTCTTATCTTCCCACTCCCCTCTCCTTCTTGTTCTTTCGTCCCCAAGGGCTACGAAAAACTTTCGGAGATTGTTCTACGGTCGATTAAAATGGTGACGTCCTTTGGGCCGTGGCATGTTTATTGGTGCTAAGTGAGTGCATAAAGGGGCAGATCGTCACTTGTACCATTATTATTTTATCTAACGGTGAGTATCTGGTCCTTATTTATCAATTTAATACACCTTTGTGGTTTTATCTTGCCTTGACATTGGGTTAGGCTAGCCGTTTGTCCTCTTTCTGCTAATTAACATTTTCGTGGCTGTGGTTCCGTCAAATTATGTCAGTGCTAGTATAGCATTGCTTTGAACCTTTGTTCCACCTTTAAACCAGTTCTTCCATGTCCAAATAGCAACTGACGCCCAGTGACGCCTTAGACCTAAAACAGCCATAAAATCGGCGTCTCCAAGACGTCATTTGCTATCTGGGTTGTGTATTTACTTTTCGATTTTCCATTTTTTCCAATTGCAACGTTTCCTCTTCATCCTCCCCCTTTTCCTTTCCCCTCTACATCCCTGGACCTTACTTCCTCCTCGGCTCAGAATCTTTCTAGCCCACTTTTCTCCGTATTCCCAAACTCACCCCCTTTTATGTCCACAATTCTCAAGATTCCCAGACTCAGCGGGCGGATCCACGAAGCATCCCTTATTTTTTCTTCTTCCTCTCCGATCTTGGTGCCGGTCCAGGATCATTCCGTCCACGAACTTGAAACTTCCCTCCTAACCGAACGTCTCCATTCTCATAATTCCAGACCGACTCCCCCAAAACTGCCCCCCTCTATTCACATCCCTAGACTGACCTTTCTCTCGACTCAAAATCCTCCTCTGTGTATCCATATCCTTGCTTCACCCTCACCTTGCATCCTCCACGTCTCCCCGCTTTATTCCCAGCTCACAACAAACCCCTCCCCCCTTTCACCGATCCAAAACTTCCTCGTCCTCTTCACCCCCCATACGTTCCTCCAAATCCCCTTCCCCCGCGTCAGGTTCACAATTTCTCTCTCTCAAACTTTTCCACACACATACACACTCCTAATTCCACCCCACCTTGGTTCACAACCTCCTCCTTCAACCCTCTTCCCTTGTATCTGTCCCTCTCACTCGCTCTTTCCATCTCACCCCACCACAAACGCAGCTTCTATCTTTATCTCTCTCCCTCTGCGACACGAAAGACTCTCTCCGCCTCTCCTCTGGGGCACGGTGGCGTCGGTCCAGCGCGCAGATCGTGTCTGTGGCCTGTGCCACGGGATGCTGAGTTCGGTCGTAGCGTTTCAGTCGTACGCCTGGCTCCGTTCCGTCGTTGTCCGTCCGCCGGCGTACGTCGACCGTCACGAACCGATACGCGTGTCGGATTTGATCTCGTGCTCGGACTTTATATTTCCGTTTTCGGGATCGTGCCAGGTGGAATTGTAGCACCCTTTATTTATACACACGACACACGGACTCTCTAGTCGCCGAGTCCTGAGCCGGCAGTCCTGCCAACATGGGGATTCTCACGTGAGGAGGCGTGTTCCGGGGTAAGTCGCCATCGTTGCCCTTCCTCCTTCCTTCCTTCCTTCCTTCCCCGTTCAGAATTGGTCTTTGGCTCCCTTCCTTTCCGTTCAGAATTCGTCTTTGGCTTCCCTTCCGCCCCCGTTCAGAGTTGGTCTTTGGCTCTTTTCATTCCCAATTCAGAATTGGTATTTGGCTCCCTTCATTCCCGGTTCAGAATTGGTCTTTGGCTCATTCCTTTCTGATCAGAATTCGTCTTTGGGTCCCTTCTTTCCTCGTTCAGAATGGGTCTTTGGCTTCTTCCTTTGCAATCGAAATTGGTCATTCCTTTCATTGGTCGTTCCATCTTTTCTCCATCAGAATTGGTAATTGGCTTCCTCGAATCCAACAGAAATAACCGCAGGATGACGCTGACGATTTTTCACGTGGGATGGTTCGAACCCTCGGATTACGAACCATCACAGCTGGACGTCTGTTGGGTCGATTGCGACCCATTGCAACGTCTCTCAAAACATTCGTCTCAAACAAACACACACACAGTTTCATTAAAATGATGTTATCGACGGGTCGCTCGGTGAACTAACCATAGGAACGCGAGAGTTTAACAACGCTTGTTTTGAGCATCTGCTCTGGCAACGGACAAGATAGATTTTGCTGTGGACACTGAATTCTTGGTCGGTGGATGTTGTTTGGAGGTTTATTGACAGGCAGCTAGGTTGTGACCATCGAAGTGACCAGTGATGTTTTAGGGGACATGGGCTCTCTGGTCAAGAAGAATTTATAGTTGTTATATTATGAAGAAGTTATGAAAGACACTGAGCATACTGAGAGATTGGCAAAAGACTTTACGGTCTTGGGGACATATTGTTAAGGATTCGATTGAATGCAATATTTTTATTCTGGTATTCTGAGCGGTCTTTTTATGTGTATGTGAGGTACGTGTTGTGTTGTTAATTCGTGATAGAAGGTACCGAGGATACTAATGGATCTAAAAGAGAATGTAAGTCTTAGGAGAAATAGTGTTGAGGATTCAAGTATTTAATCAAGCTTAAGAATTTTAGGGATAGTATTTCGTTTATTAATGTTAAACGTTTTGTTGTTAACCACTGATGGTAAGTTCTAAGGGTGTTCAGAGAACTATAAGGAACTCTGTAGGAGTATTGAAGTGAAGGACAATGTTGCACGAAATTTTAGAACGTTGAGTGTGAATTGTCACGGTATACTTTATAGAAAATTTTCTCATCAATCAAAACAGAGTAAACAGAAACTAAACAGAGGTTCGGCTTCAGGTAAAAAACAAATTAATAAGGGGCTGAGAACCATTCCGCCTTGCCATGAATGCTCTGAAACAGACCCGAGTACGTCGCACTAATCGAGATATTACTTTACTAACGTTTCTTACAGGATATCTTAATCTTCCCCCCACGATTACCATAAACAACCACAGTCTATTTCGCGATTCGTAACATCCTCGATCGTCCAATTTCTTCGAATTGTACGAACCACCCAAGCGCAATCGACAATTATCCTTCGACCCATTACAACAGACAGACAGAAAATGTTGACGATAATCGAGCAGCCTGGCGAGCGAATTTTCTTCGAAAGGAAACAGACCGACAAGTCCTCAAACTTATTCCCCGACGAGTCATTTAACCCTCGACTCTCGCATTTTCTTCAACCCCCCCTCCCTACCACTCGGTCCTTAATCTCTTCAGAGGCGGGTTCGCAGTCTGCGGCCTCTGAAACCGCTTTTCATCCCCGTTCCAATTCACCGTTTTCCACAAAATTTCTAACGAGCCCGGTCTTGTCCCTTCCTCCGGTATTTATTCTTGTCTCCATTGACCGTTTTTCTTTTTTTTAGCTCGTTAATTTCGTTTTCCTCGTTACACTTAATTAGTAAGCGATTTACAGTAACGAACAACCCGGCCCCCTCCACCGACACTTCGTAACCCTCGACAATTGCACGCTTCCCCGAGCCGTTTATCGCGGTTTCGTTTTCGTACAATCTACGGTGATGAATGCAGGTGGTATATACAGAGTGGTCCAAAAATCAGTGGCCACGATGTTTCAGGCACTTCTGATAGTCAGACAAAACAATGTTTCCAACAGAAACTAATCGTTTGCGAATTCAATAAAATTTATTTTAATGTAAAGTCAAGGTCACTTTGACTCTTCAAATGGTACCCTGTATTTTTGACTGTGTGGTATTATAAGTGAGGTCGAGACGAATTCAATGACCTGGTGTACTATGACCTTAAGATGATCTTGAACTTATCTTACACCTTTAGAAATTTTAATACCGTTATGCCGTTTTCAGTTTTATAAATCTCATAAATTTGTTTTTTGCACGAAGTCGAGCTTCTGCTTAGTTTCTGTTTACCACGTTTTAATTGGTTCCACAAGGGGAAACCCCCAGTGGTGGGAAGAACGCGATTGTTCGTGTCGCATTCATCGAGGAATCACTGTATAATACGATCTGTATTTATTCCAAGTAGAATCAAAGAACTATAGTCAGACACATTAGTCACACGTATTCAGTCTATTTCTCGATAAAACTAACGAAAGGTGGTAGAATTTCTTTCTTAGTATTTCCACAATTTTCAGCGTTGTTGTAATATCTATTGGTATAGTATGCATAGCAACATTAATACGATCTGTGTTTATTCCCAATAAAATTTGCGAGTACTAGCCTGTTCATTCCGAGTAGAATGAACGACGTACGGTCAGGCACATTCGAACGTGTGTATTCGTACGGTAGTAAGTAGAAAGTAACTGCAATGATCAGACGTGCCAGCAAAGTGCTATTCAAATTGCACGCGTATCCAGCAGATATTCAAATTGGATTTTCTCGAAAACTGCACCGAGAATGACTAACCTATATTCTATATTTGTTTTCACGTTTTTTTCATAAGGAATCACGCAGTGCTTATTTTTAAATATTATTCGGTCGAACCATGTTATTTCTATCGGGGGAAGCATCTCCGGGAAATACGGCTCGTTTGTTCACGCGATCACCGATCGGTTGCGCCAGACGTTAATTTATTGATTGTCGGTTTTCCGTGTTTGGGGGTAGCTTAATGCGGTGTTCCTGATTGGACAGAATATGTAAATACTAGAATGTGCTCGTTTTAATTGGTTTGTAAATGAGAACGGCCGGATGGTCGGATCGGCGATGAATTCGGAAAACATCGATCCCTATGGATGGTACAACTATACACGAACGAGCATTTTCACCTTTACATACTTTACACGCGTACGGCGTGTCTTGTATCGCGTGTCTCTCGTTCACGATCGTTTTAACAACGTGGATAGGACAACGTACTTATACAGGGTGGTCCACGCAACTTGTTCACCACAAATAACTTCTAAAGTATGCATTGTATGAACAAACTTTTTATAGAAAAGATAGTGTCGCATTCATCGAGGTGTCACTGTATCCTGTTCACGGTGAATACACGTCACGAAAGAACTCATCACATTATCGTACGCTAAGCAAACAGAAAAGTACAATCAGATTAAGTACATTTCATACCTCTTAAAACATTTTTTCTTTCACATTCGGTCATTGTAATTCTTTTACATTCGGTAACCTTATAAATTAGATGTTTCTTTCATTGTCAGTAGTCGTCAAAAAGGTTATGTTCACTTATTCACAGTATTTTTACCGACTGTCGGTAAACGTTAATCGAAGCGCAGTAATATTTAAAAACTAACAAGAATTCTACTTCACTGGCATTCAAAGCCTTTAGAGAACACCGCTGAAATTACTTATGCATCGACCTAATTAGAAATACATTCCTCACCCCCAATGGTACCCTACAGTTGACGCCGATCGGTGCTGGTCGAACGAATATATTAACCTTTAGAAGTATCTAGAGGCTTCTTTAGCAGCCGCCGGAGGTATCCCTCCCTTTTTCGGACACTGAATAAAGTCGAAATACAGTGCATATATTTATAGACAAATTGTTCGACAAAAAAGATAACTTTTTTTATGAAAATATGACGGCAATCTAAAGGTTAGAAACGTTCCGTACACTCGTCGATTCGATCGGTGCCACACACGCGTCCCGATTGGGGTTGTTCGATTCACTTCAAAGAATCAATTTTCGAATTGATGGTCGAATGAATCGCACCATGAGAATCGATTCTAGAAGAATCAATCGAAAAATCGTACAAAATAGGGAAGAGAAATAGAGGTAAAATTAGTATGAATTAAAAAATTTGAAATCGAATTAATTCTCAAACAGAAGGACCAATCAAACAGCTTCATATCTTTGGCGTTTAATCGGCGAAAAATCGATTTCTGATTCTCGAAGTAAAGAATCGATTCTCAGAAAAAAATCAAACAGCATAAAATCGAATCGAATCGGTTTTTTAATCAAAAGAATCGATTTGTAGAAGAGTCGAATCGGAATCGAACATCTCCCTAGTCCCGATCGAACGGGGTCTCGAACATCGTTTCTAATTTCCCGCGCACACCGTTTTCAGATCCAGATCCGAAAAAAAAAACAAAAAAAAAAGAGGAAAGGAGAGCCAGCCGCCCGATACCGAATTAATAATGCCGTGGGGGAGGAGCGGCGCAGAGGATCGGCTGAACTTTACGTGAGTACGCCACTTGAGGAGAGCCCGTGGAGGGTCATGACCCGGCGACCCAACCGTGCCCGATATCTGGGCCACACTTGAATTTTAATCCACGCTGCAATTGCCGCCCGCGGTTCTTTCTCCCGTGCTAGAGTACCGGGGAAAAGGAAGGGGGGCGGAGCAGTTGGCCCACGACGCTTCCGTTGAAAACGATACCCCGAACTCTCCCGCGAATTTTTATTGGCCACCGTACGATCAATACTTTGCACGACGCGCACAGTGGTCCAGAATCAAAATTTCGCAACCTCAAACCAGTCGAAAAACGTAATTATTTTAGTTTTTCCAAAAGAAATTCATTTCGACTTATTATTTAAATGTAGAACGCCCAGATAACACATGTGCTATCTGGGCGATTTGTTTTATGCGTTATCGTTCTCCTCGGTACCTTTTTGTATCGTCGAACTCGGTGTAAAATAAATTCCTTGAAAATATTCCGACTTTCATGGAATCTTCTTAATGTAAAAATATTTTTCCTTTCTGTCGGATAAAAAACGATGAACAGTATTTATACAGCAACCTAATATAATCTGTATTGTTCTCGATAAATTCGAGACGGCAGTTTCCATCACAGATTTGTTGAATCGGATGGTTGCAAGGATGAACAAAGCGATTTATTCTGTATAAAAATGGTAGCCATCGAATGGTCTGCGATTCGATAAATCCGGAATTCTTGCATTTCATTCAACTCGGACTATTGGCCGCGGACTGTATTGTTTCAGAAATATGTATTCAGTAAGTTTGAGCGGAGTCATATAAAAAGTAAAACTTCACCGCGTCCTGCAATATCTTCTCTCAGCATTATCGTCCCTTTTTCTTTCGAAAGATTCGCGTCTCGACGCATAATAAAAGATGCAAGCTAAAGGTTTCCAATAAACATGGAACACTCGTTTGTCATAACGGGATCTTTCGTTAGCATAGAATATTTCATAGCTACGCTTTTCTGATAATAATGTTGGCAAATAATAATAACACGGAGATAAAGAAATCTTTATTCCATCTGATAGAATAGTGAATACACCTATGTAATACTTACGATAATAGACAGTTTTAACAAGCGATAAGTGTATTCCTGAAGAACCGAAATATTCCTTCGGTGATAAAAAACAATTTTAAATAAACATCACAAAATTTAATGACGTACATCTACTCGTCCAATTTAGAATTAAATTCTAATAAATACATTTGTCACCGACCATTCGCTGTCGAAATACGATTAGATTCAGTTCGTAGCGTGTTTCCCTAACGACAATTCAATATGGCGGCCATTGCTAACCGTGCAAGCATTAAAATGGCGCACGGTCGCGATAATTCTGCCGAGCATAATACCTTCATATATAAATCAACCCATATATTATTCAAATTTACTTCGTATAAAGATAAAGCACGGCCTCTTCTGTACCTGCAAACGCTTTAATAATTTTCTATTCACAGAAAATAGATGTGATATTACTTCACCTTATTCGCCTTCCTTGCTTATTTAGAATATTAACCTATTATCTACACAGTGAATTACATTTCCTTTCTATTACAACATTCACATTATAACTCCCTCGTGTCTCGTTCAATAATTCCTAACCATTGTTAAATAAATCATTAAATAATCGTACAATTATAAGGTAATCAAGGTCTCAATATGGCTTCAGTTCAACTTAGACCCCAAATACCTTTACAACAATTAAAAAAAAAAAGCACAAGAAAAACATCGCTCTGATCTACATTCGGAAATCAAAACAACAATTCACAGGCAATAAAGTGAATTCCTTATTGGTACACTTTGTCCACCTTAGGTTCACCCGATACACTTGCTAGAAATTCCTCTCAATGCTCGAGCTTAGACGAAAGCTAAAGCATTTGTTCCTCGAGCAACCAACCCACACAGAGAGCCTGACACAGTCACCCTCCGTCATTGTCTCCAGGCACGCGGTGATCTATCTCGTCATTATCCCAGATATGTACATGTAGATGTAGCAAAGCCTCGACAGAGCCCGGAACGTGATTCTCGTGGGACAAGAGTCCTCGATGGAAGAACAATCGGGCCACCCACGATTGTTCCCCGTCGATACTGATTACGCCCGCCCCGGAAAATTAGTGTCGAGCAGATTCCAGTCTTGAAAGGGGGACCCCCTCTGGTGATATTCGCGCGTTCCAAGCATCCTACCCCCTGTCCTGTTGCGTGTCTACAACACACACACAAACACGCGTTCAATTACTAGTCGTACACCCGTTGATTAACGATTCTCCTTTGTGGAAGGAGTTAACGATATCTTTAAATGTACAAAGAAAGTCGTCTGACTGTCGAGAATTAACCCTCAAAGACCACACACTGTATTTTCCGACCGATTCGACTATACATATACACTCCACTAGACACTAAATCCCACAGCTCTATACAGGGTGTAACAAAAATATTGGAGGACCTGGAAATGGCAGATTCGTGAGGTGATTTGAAACAAGTTTTGCCTTAGCAAAAATGTTATACGAGGCTTGGTTAACGAGATATTAACGAGAAACTCCGACCAATTAGAGCGCGAGCCTGCTAGCCGAGTTACCGCGGGAACGTTGACCACCAATCGCAGCCCGTAGCCAATGTTACGGCGGGAACTCGACCGGCAGACTCGCGCCCTGATTGGTCGGGGTTTTTCGTTAATATCTCGTTAACCAAGCCGCGGATAACATTTTTGCTAAGGAAAAACTTGTTTCAAATCACCTCACGAGTCTCCCAATTCCGGGTTTTCCAACATTTTTGTTACACCCTGTATAACTTCCCACCCTTTTACCGTTCAGATATCCTAGTTGTCTTACAGACTGGGATTCCGTTACTTGTAACTCTTTACCAATAATGATCTGTTACGAAAGATTAGAAATCGGTGTACAATTTACGAAACGCACTACGGTAGTCAGAGATGTAAGTTCAACGAACCCACCCCCCTGTAGTTCACGTTTCCAGTTGCGGGTGTAATTGGAACAGCCGTGTGTCAAAGCGGAGAAGAAAGGAGGGGCTTACGTTACCTACCCGTCGTGGTAATTACAGTTACAGGGGATCACAGGGTTATCCCAGACGTGGACAAAAGTGAAGGCGGCGACGACGACGGCGACACGATGGGGGTGAACGTGATAGGGGTGGCCGGCGTGATCGTGTTTTATCTGGCTGTGCTCGGCGTCGGGATTTGGGCGGCCACCGTCAAGAAGAAAAAGGCTCGACAAGGCCACGAAGCAATGATGCTGGCGAATCGCGACCTCGGCCCGGTTCTCGGAGTCTTCACCCTAATTGGTGAGTCAAAGAACGCGTCCCTCTTCGCCTTTTTCTTTCAGGTGCCTGTCAACACGTGCCACGACTTCAATATACACGACGACCCGTAATGCTAGAGAAAAAGCTCTACTTCATCTGTCCGAAACGAGAAGATTCATCAAAAAAATACGCTGCACGAAAGAATCAGAGAATCATACAGACTCCTCTCGATTATTGTCCCGAATTCGGGTCCGCGCTGGGACAATAATCTTGTAGGGAGAAATGCTTCAGACATTCGTAAATTCGTTTTTTCGCCGAAGCCCGAGCGTGTAAATCCGCATTCATTCTTTATTTTATACGCAACCACTTCACATGTATGTATTCTATACATATGAATAATTTTTTATTTCCTACTAGCATATATTACTTCGTACAGTCCATTTTCTAAACAATTACCTTTGTTAACTTACTTTGTAACTTACACCGATTGGCTTCTGAGCCTTCCATATGTAATACTTGTTCTTTTTCGAAATTCCCAAAAAAGTAAGTTTTTTCATCCGTCACACTATGATCACACTAGGGAAACCCCTTAAACGAAGAAAATCGGCGTGAACCACGCCCCCTCCTCTAGGCGTCCACCAATTCCGGTGGCGCGCACCGCGAATTGTATCTGGGGAACAGGCGGCAGTGGGACACCGGGGAAATCCCAGCTTTGTCGCCGCCCCCTCCCTTCAACCCGTCAATTGCATTTCTCGCTCGACCGTTCTCTCCGGCGTCAGGCATTTATTCCCTTTCCTCTATTTTCCATCCTCTTGTCACCTTTGCGGTTTTGCTTGTTCTCTCTCTCTCTCCGACCATTTTTTCTCTCTCCCCCGGTGCAGTTTCGCACTAGTTTCTCGCTTGCCACGCTCCAGTGTTCCGCTCGACATATAACGATTCATCCTACCGATTCATCCGTGCTCCATTTCTGCGGCCGCGGAGAAAATCATCTTTCCGCTCCGTCCATTACCTTAATCACAGACGAGGTATAGGAGTAGACATTTCATCCAATGTATTTTTTCGGCCCACTATTCTGGAACGACGTCGCCCCATTTCCATTTTAGTATCACTACCCACCGCAGATTCACCGTTCTCGTAACGTAAAGGTCGCTGAAATCACAGGCTTTTTAAACGTGAGTCTACTGTAGAATCCTCCAGTTCGATGAATAACATCATGCCTGGACATCCCCCCCAGAGTCCACGACGGTTTAATTCCTGAAGGTTTTACAGATCACCGGCCCCGACCCGTGTAACATTTCGCCTCGAAAGAGCGATTATCACACGCGCACGGTTCACTAATCGTTGAAAACCTCGTTTACTTTCCATGCGAAGCCACGTGGGTCGGCGGCGCCTACGTGAATGGAACAGCGGAAGTGATGTTCACCAGAGGACTGGCCTGGTGTCAAGTGCCCTTCGGCTACAGCCTCAGCCTGCTGTTCGGTACGCAAATTACACGTGGATATTTATCATGACTAGGGTAAGTGACTCAATTACGGATGGTGTCAGTATTATGGAGGCTTGACTATGTCCCTATGAATGAAAAACACTGTATTTATACAACGTTGAAAATAACTTCTTTTTTTTATATGAAGCTCAGTTCCGCTTTTATTCGGGGGAATTGAAACATTTTCAATTTAAATTCTTTTATGTTGTAAGTTTCGTATTTCAATGTTGAATCACACAATTTGGTACGTGATACTTCAAACAGTCTAAACGGAAGTGCTAAGAAGTCCCACATGCACGAAAGTAAAGATAAATTAATATACTTTTATTTATACATGTTTCTTTTTATTTATTTATATATATATATACGTACGAAATATTATACTTTTGAGAAAACCTTTTTTCATTCGTTCGGTATTTCACTAATTTTCAATTATTCCATAAAAACAATTTTTTGGGGATTCCAGAAAAATGAAACTTGTTAGAGAGCCCGAATAAGAAAAACAATTATCAATAATTTCTTATTATTTCTAAACCGTCCGTAATTGGGTCACTTATCCAACAAGTAAATCCTCGACGAGAATCCGAAGGCTCTCTCGGTATTGACAAGGAGAGGTCGACAAGTAAAACGCTGACTTTTTTAATGAAGTTCAGCACAGAAATAGAGCCTGGAGTTCTGAAGCCAATGATAGTTGTTTCAGCCGCGTGTGGCCATTAGTGTATGAAATATTTAATGTTCAGTGTCGAGAAGCCTTCGAACATACGTCGAGGATGTACTGTATACTTCATTCGATGTCGGTAACTATAAACAAAGAGAGACGGCGATAACTATACGACAGATGTTTATGCATTTATAGCGTCCCCTGACTTGCATAACGTAGCAAAATAAAGAATCTAATAAAATTTAGTATTATCGATGCATTGCAAATAGAAATATCTGTGCAATTTTGTTTTAAAACACGATGAATGATTTTAATAACCGAGAGAAGGATCTATGCTTTCTATTGGCCTTTGTTAAATTTTGTGTTTCTTATTCAGTTGCAAACTCTGTATGCATAAACATCCGTTGTTTATTAATAACGTTGGGAACTGGAAAAGTTTGAACCTGAACCGGACGGAAATCTTGTTCACCCTTTGTGTTACTTCGTGTTCAATATAATTAATAGACCAGCTAGTATGCATCGCTTACTGTATTTACTCGCGTATATTATAATATATGTATAAATTTCTAATAATATATGTATAATTTTCTAATTCGTGTTAAATAAAAATCGTGTAAAAACAGAACTAGGTGTACACTGACGTGCAAACTCGGCTTCCTTTAGGGGAAAAAGTGGCGTAAGAGAGGGGCCTCCTACCACTTGGTAAATTGATTTCAAGTACTAAAATAAATGTTAAATCAAATGTTAATTTGGCATACATTTCAGTAATTCCAAATACCAAATGGTAGGAGCTCCTTTCCCTACGTCACTTTTTCCCCTAGTGGAAGCCGAGTTTGCTCCGAAGTATACATTCAATATTGGTAATTATAATGTTGAAACACGGCCGTTTGCGTTGACTGAACTAAAAGCAACTAGGACACACATACACGTCACACAAATCTTCAGAGCTACCCCCGAAAACCGTTTCGATTCGCTCACAAAAAGTCACGTGGTACCCTTCAGATTCTCCAGCTTCTCAGCACCCATCGGTAAACACAATCTCGATATAACCCCGTCTGTGAACGTCGTGTGTAACCTTAACCCTTTAACTGCCACGCACTTTAACTACCGTCCGCCAAAGAGGGGCGTGGATCGCTGACGGGTGAGGTAGAGATCGATGGAGAACACGGTCGCATTGGAAATTGCCAAGGCCGAGGACATCCGGCGGTTAAGGTAAATTTATCCTTGGCGCGGGAATCTCTGTTATCAAGGGTCTGCCACGCTCTTTTATTTTTTTTATTTTTCAACGCCTTCGGTGAAGGCTGTACACGCGCGAATGGGGGGGGGGGCGATCAATTTGAATCCGGTTGCTCTTGGACGACGTGTCTCGAAGCAGCTGACGTAGTGTCTGGGAACGACATCGACGAATAATAGGGATTCGAAGAGTTGGGGAAGTTTTCGTGTCAACGATTTTATAAAGGGACGAAAAAACGCTGCAGTTACACGTCCGATACATCCTAGTCATTTTTTCTTACTTTTAATAACAGAGAAAATAATTCTTAATTCCGAATGCTAATGCAACTTTAACAAAATTTTCCAAGAGAACAGTTGAGTTGCAACCCACGGTTCATTTCAGACTTTTTATCCGCATGGCGAGTAGAATACGATGCAATAATAAAAAAACTTTGACCTTGAATTTCAAGGTCAAGGTCAATCTTTCGGTAACTTTTGCTGATCTCCATCGATCCAATGGTGTAGAATAACGATATGGTAGCCGCGGCATATAATTTTTAAACACCCTGTACATCGTTGAATCGCAGATAGTAATCGTAGCCAACGTTTTATTCCTCTTCCAACGTGTCCTCGGCTCAACGCATGGTCCACCAAAGAACCAAATGTTCACGGTCAAATAATATTAATAAACACTCGAATAACCGGCCTCTGTCCACGGAATGTCCGGTGATCCGCGCCGGGTAAACAGAAAGGATCCATGAATCCTCAATTACCGCGTTCGGACGGAACCGAGTAATTGACGTCCAACCCCCTTTTACCGCTTGTCATCGTATTCCCCAAAATGTGGCGGTTGCGGTGTCACTCCGCACGCTCAAACGGCTGCGAATTCGACCGGTTCCCAATTAACGGAAGTTATACATCGGCGATATAAAGTTTGCGCGACACTCGAAAAGGTAATTGAAAGTTGGACCCCGGACGTTCGAGTTGTCGATGATCCGCCCCCCTCCGGTGTCCAATTTGGAAATGTGTCGACGGAATGTCCAGCTTGTACATCGAGGCAACGCAGAGTCGCTTACGCATGGTAAATGGACGTATGGGAAATCGGACACTTTTTGGAGTAACATTTCGGATTTTGCTGTAACTTGAATATGTTGCAATCTTCGATGATATAATAAACGTATGTTACAGGATATTTGAAAATTTTTTGTATTGTCGATATTACAAACTCTATGGGTCCTACTATTATAAAATTGTATTTCTTTGAAACAATTGTAAAATAAACGGTAATATTGACAATTTGTAAGTTTCAACGAAATCTAAAATGTTACTCCAAAAAGTGAATGACTTTCGCGCGGAATGACCCAGCAGGGACACTTTGGTTGTACACCCGAAAATGTCGTTTTTCAACTGGACAAACTTTCTTCGTGGCAGTTAGAGGGTAGAATATTTAATTGAGTTTTTCAAGTGACTAGCATTTTTTTCAAACACTTCACCGACCAATCATTATGACTCGAAATTCGAGTATTCGAGTAACTCCCTAGTAAAAATTGAATTATTCGGCTCGACTTCACCGACCAATCATTATTTGACTCGAAATTCGAGTACCTACCCCTAAAAATAACACGACGAAACGTGTTGTGATAAGATGTGGTATCGTAACTTGAAATGTTCCATCGGAATGATGATCCGTGGGGGTGTTGGGAACAGGTGCGGTGCTGTTCGTGCGACCGATGAGGAAGGCGGAGTACATGACCATGCTGGATCCGTTTCAAGAGAGATACGGTGCCGGAGTCGGCGGTCTGCTGTTTTTACCGGCACTATGCGGCGATCTGTTCTGGTGCGCGGCTGTTCTCAGAGCCCTGGGTAGCTCATTGGCGGTGGTCGCTGGGTTTGATTCTGACGTCTGCGTCTGCGTGTCCGCGTTTCTTGCGGTGATGTAAGTATTAAAAACCACGCCTTACACGTGAAAATACAGTAAACTCGAAAATTAATATTCCAATGTCCAATGTCGATATCTCCGATATCATGGTGTTTTACGAGTAAATCGAATTTTAAACGATTTGTTATTCACGACTCGAAGGTACACCATGGTCGGTGGATTGTACTCTGTCGCGTGCACGGACGTATTGCAACTGGTCTGCATCGTGCTCGGCTTAGCGGTGGCTGCACCATTCTCCTTTCTCCATCCGGCTGTGTCCTTCGAGAAGAATCTTGCGCCCCGTGAGTGGCTCGGGGAAATAAGGAACGAGGATCTGGGGGAATGGGTGGACGGCATGCTGTTGCTGGTGTTCGGTGGAATACCGTGGCAGGTAACGAACATCAATCATCGGATAAAAAACAGTACCGGTAACATTTCATTCAACGTACGAGAATGATTCGTTGAAGTCTTTCTTTCTTTGTCAATTCCCGTACATATGACTCTTTAAGATTTCTTCGGTATCCGTAAACAATTCTTCGAGGCTTTTTCAATTTATACAAACAACGCCTGAAGATATTTTTCGATCTGTACATATAGAGATTTCTCGATGGTCCTTTCCAGTTACAGAAACATTCGAAAATTTCTTCGATTCACGTAAATGATTCTCCAAGATTTTCGGCCGGTATCCATAAACAATTCTCTGAAGCTTTTATCAATTTATGTAAAAAAATACAAGATACTTGTAATCTATAAAATCGAATTAAGGAAATGTATTCCTTAATATATGTCAAGATATTGCTATCGAGTCGATTCACAAATTACGTCTACAATTGGAAATCTAATTAAAAATCAAACATTGGCCTCGAAGTGAAATTGACCAGAACAGTGGAACAAGACTTAATATTTAATAATAAAAATGTTTTATCGCATTTTTTCTATTTTCGTGTCAGGGCTACTTCCAACGGATCTTGAGCATGCGAAGCACCACAATGGCGATGACCCTCTCGATCGCGTCGATGTTCGGTTGCATGATCCTCGCGTTCCCGTCCGCGTTGATCGGCGTGGTGGCGCGAGCCACGGACTGGTCATTGATCGAGGGATTCACAAACAGTTGGCTGTCCTACAACGGGAACCTCGCGTTGCCAATAGTACTTCGATACCTGACGCCGCAGTGGGTCTCATTTGTTGGTAAGTTCGATCATTGATCGCCTGAATCCTGCTCGCAGGCATATCGACGCTAAAGATTTCGATTTGCACGGAATCGATTTTCTTCCGTAAAAAGAAAATTAAATAAAATCGTTTAACCACGATTTATTCGCGCCGTTTATACCGTGCGATCGATTCTCAGGACTGGGAGCGATCACAGCGGCGGTAATGTCGTCGGTAGATTCGGGGATTTTGGCAAGCAGTTCGATGTTCTCTAGAAACGTCTACAGACTCACCCTCAGACCGAAAGTAAGTACCGAATTAGGGCTGGTACGGATATTCGAATGATTTGAATATGTACTCGAATATTCGAATAGCCAGGAGATTTCGATATTAGAATTATAATTGATATTAGAATATTCGAAATGTAAGAATTATTCGGAGTATTCGAATTCTTCGAATAAATTAATCGTATTCGAAATTACTGAAATTATTCCAATAGTTCTAATATCCGAATACTTACAGTTCTATATAGAATATTTACTGCACAATAAGAACACATTATTGTTATCATTGCTCCCGTTTCAATTATGGATAATATTATCTTTGTGTTTCAAAAAACTTTCATATCTTTTTTTTTTTTAATTCATAGCGACACAAGACATTTCACACAATTAATATTAATCTTCTAACACGTTCCCTATTACGATTAACTTTAGTAACTGATATACAGTTTAATAATCCGTATTGAATCGTTACGATTTAATTATTATTTAGTAATGTTTCGAGTGTCCACGATGAAAGTTATTTACGACTGAACCCAATATAATTCGATTTAACCAGCGAATACCAATTTAACGAACCCTAATAGCTCATCTAAAACCTGTAAACCTGTATGTGCATATGTCATATTTGCTGTCCAAAATGGATATGACTCTCGTAACAGACAGTTTCGAACGAACAAATCGAATCACATTCAAATGATATGATAATAATCCAATTACTCACCGGTACTTCTGGATCGTTTCAGGCGTCCGACAGGGAGCTTAACTGGATACTCAGGATCTCTATGGTCGTGATCACGGTACTGTCAACCGCAATCGCCCTTACGGTGGACAGCGTTTATTATCTGTCGTGAGTAACGGCCGTTTTAATTATCTTCGCCGACCCTGTTTAATCATCTCCTCTGACCCATGTTTAATCATCCCCCACCCCCCAACCGTTACTCGGACAATTCGAACGAGGAGACGCGATTCACTTGTAAACTATTTCCTTCAAGGTACCTCAGCTCCGATCTCGTTTACGTGGTGCTGTTCCCGCAACTGTTGACAGTGGTCCATTGGCCTTCCCTGGTGGACACGTACGGATGTCTTGCTGGGTACTTTGTGGCAGTTGTCTTGCGTCTTTGCGGTGAGCAGACTCGAACCACCGTCGGATATAAAAATATCGTCGGTTCGCTGGAAAAGTGACGCAATAAAAAAAAATTAATCTTTCAGGAAATCGGTTTGAAATTTCATTTATGGTTGAAAAATATCGTTTATAAAAAAAAAAAATTTGTAACGTTTTAAATAATCTTAAAATGATTATTGATTCTTGATTTTATGAAGAAACATTTTTGCACAACATATCAGAAAGATGCATGTGAGCGGGTCGTATGGAAATGTTCTTCTCCGCCATTTGCGAACAGGAAAAACGTTGATCGTACCCTCACAAGCAAACTCAGCTTCCGCTAGGGGAAAAAGCAGTGTAGGATAAAGGCCTTCTATCACTTGGTCTTAGGAATTATAGAAATTTATGTCAAATTAACATTCGAGTTAACATTTATTTCGGTACCTGAAATAAATTTACGAAATGGTAGGAAACTTTTCTTCTACGCTAGTTTTTCCCCTAGCAGAAGCCGAGTTTGCTCGTGAGGGTACATACTATTCGTGTATACACCGTGAAAAGGCTGTAGGATCTCGTTCACCGTTCCGTATAATCTTGTTTACGTTGCATTTGAATTTTCAGGGGGCGAGAAAGGGTTGGGTGTGCCGGCGTTGATCGAGTACCCGTTCTACGACACGGAGACGCAGACACAAAAGTTTCCGTTCCGCACGGGCGCCATGTTGGCTGCCCTCTTCACCCAGCTCGTGACTAGCTTCTTCACCAGAAACCTCCTCGGGAAGGGCTATTTTCCGCGATGCTGCGACGTGCTCAGCGTTTACTCCCCCGGAAAATCGAAGGACCAAACCGGCGTGGTGCAGAGCAGCTCCGGTGCTGCTTTAATGGACACTTCCTCCGTTAATGTGAGTGATTTTAAGCGGAAAAATCCGACCAGAGTTGCATAGTCGAGAAAATCGACATTGAAAATCTGTTGGCTACGCGTGGAATTGAATAGGACTTAGCTAGCGCGTCTGTTCAATTCACTCTTATTCTACTTACTACGCGTTTCAGGTCAATTTTCAAAGCCGATTTTCACGAAAACAAAACCTCAAATGAAACAAATTTCATACAGAATCACACTGTCCCCGATTGTACCATCAAAACTGGGACACCCTATATATTGATGTACCTGGTAACAAGTAAAGAAACAGCAACCTCTGGATAGGTGAAGATCTACAAAAGAAAGTCACCTCAAAATTCACTCTGACCTTGAACTTCAAGGTCAAGGTCAATTTTGCGTTGACTTACTTTCGCATATCTCCACCAATCTAGAGGTGCAGAATAAAAAAAAAAAAAAATAAAATTTTCAAATCCATCCACGGCGATATCGATTCAATCCGTGGCTATCATACTCAGAAATCGACATCAGGAATGGACTCGTGCGACGGGATTGGGACCGGAAGCTACGACGAGGACCGTACCACCTCGAACTCCGTGGAGGACATGACCGATCGCGGGGAAACTGGGACCCTGGCCAGTGGCGATCACTACGATCACCACCGCGATACACCGAAGATCAACAGCATCGGTGGGTCCGCGGTGCACAAAGCGAACCAGAGCCTTCAGCATCTGCAGACCCTGAGGAGCTCGATGCATCCGAGGCCGATACCTACGCCGACCCATTACACACCGATGCAGACCAACGAGATGTCCAGGGGCCAAATACTGGGCGTGCGCAGCCTGCGTGGCTCGATCGGTCAGATGTTGCCCGTGATCTCCACCTGTCCAGTCGTACCAGTTCCGGTCGGTTCGACGGTGGCGACGCCATTGACCCCAGGACCGCATTACGGGCGCATCAGCGACCTGCTGCCCTCGGGGAACGAGAAAACGCGGGAGAACGAGAGGATCAGCATCGTGGAGAGGAGCAACGCCGAGTTTCAAACGGCGCCGGACAGTATGCTGACCAGCATCGGGATGAAGAAGAACGTGAAAGGGGTGAAACTGGTCGGTATGGAGGGCGGGACACTGCGGAGACCGTCTTTACAGGTGAGCGAGCAGGACGTGACGTCCTTGTAGGGTGAACGTATCGGTAAATGAAGTTTTTCATATAAAAATCTATACCGTATAAAAAGGCAAAGATATTAAAAAAATCTAGTCTACTGTTCTGTTCGATATATCTTCGTGTGTAAAAAAAATATTTTTTTTCTTTGGAAACTGAACACAAACGCACACACACAGCACTTTTTATACGTATTTTTTTAAGTTTGTATACGTTGACATTAATACCCTGTTACGTTTTCTTGTGTACCATTGTTCTATTAAACTATTCCATAAAACAATGTTTTATTTATATATTTTGTTTATCCTTGGTTCGTCGACCGCCCACGGTTGGACGTTTTTCCTGTTCCTTGGAGGATGGATGAGTTTGGCAAGAGCAGTCCCCGCTTTTTGTTTTGTTTGTATTCTCTCGTTTTGTCGCCTAAGACCTCAGGTTTCAGGATCATTTTGGGATTGTTCGTTTGCACGCGGTTCTTAGGGCACGTTCTCGCCGACGCCGTCGGTGGAGCTGGTGCACATTTTGGATAGAAGACAGAGCAGCGATTCGTACGGTCCTGGCTCCCTGTCACCCGTCCCTATGGGAGTGGAGGCATGCAAAACCCATGGGACAGCCTTGGAGGGCCAAGGTGGTACCGAACACTGCAGAATCAAGAGGGGGATCGTCAGGCACCATAGGTATCTATAATACACATACCGTCGTGTCAATGTTAGAGTTCAGAGACTCGTTAACTGCTCGAGATAACACAGTAAATCTTTTTCTGACAAGAGAAGGTCCCCAGGTGTAACGATGACTTTTTAAATGATGTTCAGCAGAGTGATAGAGCTTGGAATTCTGAAGTCAATGATATTTGTCTCAGCCGAATATGGCTATTGGTTTATGAAATATTTTAATGTTCAGTGCCGAAAATGTCTTCGAATACTCATCGAGGATTTACTGTATCAGGGACCCGTTGAGTGCTCGTGACTCCTAGGCGACGAGTACTTAACGAGCGTTCACGAAAAGTCCAATTTAGATTGCACAGAAATATTGTGTACGTAATTGTACGTTCGTTACAGTAGTAATAGAAGCTTCGCTTAAATGTAGTAGTGTTCAGCTGCGCAAGCTTCCTCTCGCATATAAAAAAAAAAAGATGAAGCATGACAGTCAACAGCATTAGCGACGGCAGATCTCTGTTTATCAGAATCGTCACAACATTCGCGAGTCGTCGAACACTCTCTCCGATCTTGCTTTCAAACGTTTGCGCAGCTTCAACGACACCGGCGACCGGGCACTGACAACCCTGGCCAGGCAACCGGCCTATCCGTCGATGCCCCTACGCCCGGAGGACTGTCGGATGACCTTGGTGAAGAAGGACAGACGGTCGTCGATCGCCCGACACGGGTCCGTGACGACCGAGAAAGAGCTCAGCGGTTGCACGACCGGATTGGTCGTGTGCAGTCCCACGTACAGCATGTACAGCTCGGCCGTGAAGAGCTCGAACTATTTCGTGACCGACGACGAGGCGGTCAGCAGGTTTTGAAGACGACATCGTTGTATAGTGGACGCGAACAAATATAGCGAGACTCTCTCGAGAGGTCTTTCCAAGTGTCCTGTTAGACACGATCCGCCGCCCCCAAGCTACCAAATGTGTTTTCCCGTATATCGAGACGATCTGTTCTCGTTGTCGAGATCTTGAAAACTTCTGTGTCGCCGGATCTCTTGGATGTCCGTTGTCCGAATCGATCAGAAGGACGTCCAACGACCTCTACGTTTCTTTTGTATTCCTAACCTCAAAGTTTCTGCATCAACTGGATGTATGGGATCTTCGAGTCTCTCCTAGTGCCATCTGTGTTTGTCAGTATTAGGAAGGGGGGTTTTGTTCAGTATTAATAAGGGGTTTGCCAATATTAAGAAGGGGTTTGTTGATTATCAGAATTCGAGGTATCCAAGGGAATACAATTTCGATGCGTTTTGAAATCACTGTATTTGTCCCGCCCACGTATACAAGGACTACGAACTAAGCACAATCGAATCCCGCCTGATCAGTTACGAGTCCGACCCTTTTCTATACCCTTATAACTGTCGTACAATTCTACCACTGCCCACTTTATGAATTTCTAGAATTACATCGTTTCTTATCGCGGAACATCAAGACGATATCTTTACACGGTCGTGTAGAAACAAATCATGGTTTAGTGACTTTTAAAGAATATTTCCTCGACTAGGGAAATATTCGATATTTGAGAATGATGACGCACATTTTTCGCGCGGTGATGGAAAATGCTCGTTGCTGATTTCGGTCGAGAAATTGAAGCGGATGATTTTATCACGGTGTTATTTTTCTTGCCAACTAAAGTCATGCAATTTTTCGAAAGACTTTAAAAATCTACGTTTTATAAATAATTTGTAATAGAAAACTGTCCGAGCGTTTGTAAATGGCAGATGATTCGAAAGTGTTCGTAATTTATTGCAAGTCATTTACAGATCTGAGCCTTTAAAATTTCAAACAGAAAGCTCAATTACCAAAAGTGACTTGCAAAAAATGTTTCGACCATAATCTATAATGATACATACTTGTAAACAAAGAGTTCCGTGAACCACTTCAGCCTCTTGTTCGAGAATAGTCGGAATTTTCCTCGAAACCGCATACAGTTCATCCACACTGGTTTTCCCTCACGTTGGAACTATTTTTTAACACCGTTGGTAAATTTCTCAAACCTACGGGGGTTGGGTTAGCGTAAGATTTTAGTTAGCGAATGAACAGAAACTTATAACCGTCATAGATCATGAAACACACTGTAAAATAATCGACTTCTTTTTATCATCATTCACTTTAACATTTCACTCGTGACTGGTGATGCTGCGAGCCTTGGTTCGTCACCGCATCGACAAACACGTTTCAAAAGATGACTTTCAGAACGTTAATACGTTCGATCCCGTCCTTAATCGTACTTAATTTTGCCGAAGAAAGTAACCTATATATTATCTATTAGGTAAACCTTGGAGTCCTGGATTACTCATCACCACATCCGACGCGCACTTTAAACATTCACCCAACGAAACACAACGCAAGTATCACGAAGTCACTCAGCTTACAAGAATCTAACCTCTGTTCCACTTAAAGGTAGGGACGCCACAAGAAAACTACGCGGGCTTTTCTAGAAACGTATCATGTGACTTCTGCAGAAACGCACCACGTGACTTATTTATATACGTACCACGTGACTTCCGCAGTAACGTATCACGTGACTTCTACAGGAAAGTACCGCCGTATTACAACAAAATATTCGTTGTAAAATACAATTTATCAGTTTCTCACTCAAAATAGCCAGTTCATAAATTTCATTTTGAAATATTTTGTCGTCCGAAGATAAACAAAAGAACTTTTATGCTCAATCTCATTGCAATGCAGATCGTTCCTAGACGCTGCAAAATGGACCAATGAGAAAGGTTCATCGCGCGCCGCCATTATTGTTGTGACGTGTGTCTATCTCTAAGTGAAGCAGGTAATACTTTTCATAGTCGTAATAAATAGTCTTTTACCGAGGTTCTAGATGACTGTGCACAGTGGTCGTGAATTTCTATAAGGAGATGGCTATGTCCCTTTGATCTGATTCTGTCCTAAATCTGATGGAATCAAGTCTGCTTTTCTAACGTGTTTTCTAACGTCCATTCGAGTCAATCCTTCTCGATCCAATGGATCTCACCCTACTTCCGCGTCAAGGAAACGAATTTCGTAAAACTTGCTCTTGATCGGTTTAATGTTACGAGGTGTCCGGTTACAATGTTACAAGATCGATAATCGATATGTATAAAGAGACGCAGCCCTCGATCGATAGTTTCTTTTTTACCTTCCGGTCAGTTAGCTCGACCCTCTTCAGACTGACTTGCGGACCCAATTACCCAGTGTAACGTTCGGATGGTGATTAATTTTTTTTTTTGTACAAATTATACGAGAGGACGTCATCTTTTACGTGGTTCTGTGTAGATAGGACGATCGATTCGAGGAAGAGATCGAGGACCTTTGGCCAGTTTCGTCGTGTACACGTCAATGATACCCTTAAATTTACATGATTAAGCATAGGTAATTATATACGAGATAGATTAGGTAATTAGATCGTATAAAATGTTAAGAATGGTGCACGCTGCTACCAACTTCTGATGTCCAGAAAAAGAAAGAGAGAGAGAGAAAGATAAGATACGAGGCCGATACGTGTAGCTGTGAGAGACAGAGGCAGCAGCATGAGCTTCGCTACTCGGAGCTATTTTATTTTCGTTTACGGCAGGAGGAAAACATTTCTAAATAAATCGATAGATCTCAAAGCTTCTGGATTTCCAGATTTCAAGATCTTCGAAGCTTTGAATCTCCGAAGATCTAGTTCGTTGAGGTTCTAGATCACCGGATCTCTAGATCTCTAGATCCCAAGATTTTCAAGGCTCTATAGATCTCCGGATCTCTAGATGTTCGAGGAGCTAGATCTCCGGATCTCTAGATCCCCGAGCTCTAAATCATTGACGCTTTAGATCTCTAGTTCCCTAAGTCCACAGATTCCTGGATCATCGAAATCCGAAGTTTCTCTGTCTTTAGATCCCTAAACCACTAGATTAAAATGTTTCCACAGAAACACTATTTCAACGAAAGTGAAACGATAAATTTTCATTAAAAAAAGAAAAAAAAATTGAGGATTTTTAGCAAACGAATGTTTGTTCCTGCCGGAAACGCGTCATGGGGGGAGGGGGGTGGGGAGGGTCAAGGGTTTCCGTCGCTCAACCAACTTTTTCATACGCGTGTGGGGGAAGGTTAAGCTGCCGGATATAGAACGTCCAATCTATTACGTGCAAATTTACGATATTCCGACAACAAAATACGATATTTTTCCACCGATAATACGTCTAGTCTGTAGGATTATTGTAGCGGTTACGCGTAACACGGAGGTCTCCAAATTGAATCGGTGTAACGATACAGGAGGGGTGGGGGGGGGGCAAACACCAATTAGGCGCGGGGAACCTCCGTCGGCTCAATACCACGCGACAAAAGTATATTCTTAGAGTAAACAGTCGCCCATGATTATCTAGTCCCATGCACGATCTTCCGGGCTGTTTCGAAAATAGGCGACCAATCTTTAGAATTACATTCTGTGCACAGTATCGATTAAAAAGTGTGCAAACATTATTGTAGATCTGCAGAATCTTTCGTTCACGGAACAGTATTCGTTTCGTTCACAAGTGACGTTCCTTGGGTCGAATGTGTTGAGATGTCGGATTGAATTTTTATATTTTAAAACATTGTAAAATAGATATAGGAAGCTGAAGATCTCCGGGAATTTTCGTTGTTCCGTTATCATCGATATTTCCACAATTTTATAAGAATAGTTAACATTAGAACTATCCAAAGCAGTCGAAACGACTGGTCCAAAGTGCTAATAAACTCTTGTAAAAATGATTATAATGTCAGCAACAGTGTGCAATATACGATATAGACGAAGAAGTTCGTTAATTTATCGATTTGTATATTTTGCAACAAACTCTCTCCTTTTCATCAACGCGGTATAGAAATAGAAATCGCGTTCATTTTTCCGGTAGTTCTAGTGTTACAGAAAACATGTTAACGCGTTCGCAGCCGACATTACGAATTCATTTTGGTGAACTTAAAATATGGTGGCTGGATGCCATAAGGTTGTATCGTTAACACTATTGATTGTCAAACGAACAACATTTATAAAACTTCCAAAGAAACGTCAACGCAATCTTTAATTTTTTTAAAATTAATTTCCGAAAATCCAGATTTATCGCGATATTATTATACTATCAATCTTCTTGAATCTCACGGACTTCGAGTAAATATGGTTTGCTTGATACTATATATATATACTAGTATTATTTCTACGTAAGCATAGAATTCGGTGTCTCTATTTTTGATAAATTCAAAAACACGTTTCTTTTCACGTAAAAATATACGGGGTGAGTCAATAAGAACTGCTATCTAAAATAACTCATTATCTGTTGATTGCATCAAAAAACGTTTTAATAAATTATGTAGCTTTTAAAAAAACGCATCGGATGGATACAATATGATTTTTCTATATCTTATTTTTTTTTCAGATATCAAGGTGAACTGGAGTTTTTTCAAGGTCAACGCATCTTTGTTTAACATCACGTTGTTGCTAATAAAAAGACGAATTCAACGACCTATAGTATGATGGTATTGAAAGAAGATGCATTGATCTTGAGAAAACTCAAGGTCACCTTGATATCTAAAAAAAAAGTAAGATACAATGAAATTAAATTCTATCCATTCGATACGTCCCTTAAAATACTATACAATTCATTAAAACGTTTTTTGATACAACTAATATCTTTTGACTAACCTAAGTGAAAATTCGTATTAACACGTCAGCGGCTACCGTAGTTCGTCAAACGACGTAACATTACGTCAACGGCTGCGAGTACGTTAACGAGGGGATAGTACGCGCGAAATGAACGTCGAAGACCTATATCAGTATTATTAACACTTAAATGGAATCGAGAGAACTAATGATCCGATTCCTGGGAGGTACAGCCTCGTGAAGGTCCACAGTGGCCCTTCGTAGTGATACTTAACCGATAAGATAGAATTATTTCTAGGAAATTGTCGCGCTGTGTATTCGCGATCCAAACAGATCGTTTTAATTTAATACAGTAGACTCACGTTAAAGTAGCGGTGCGGGGCTCTCGAGGCGGATTTTTCTTGGAAACACTACTTTAACGTGAGCTAATAGGCACGCAGGATCTCGTGGCAGCTCGGTCGATCCACCAATTGGATCAGAACTTTGGTTACAGATGGCGACCGATAGTGGGTTGCGTGCACGTGTGTGAGCTGGGGCGTTGTTACTGCTACTTTAACGTGAGTCTGCTGTATCAACACCCAGTGTTGAAATGTTACTTTTCGTCTCGTTATCCAATGTTCCTCCCTCGTCTATTGGGTACAGCGTTGCCAGAAGTACGCAGAACCTGGCGGTGTACGGACAAAGTGACGTAGTAGGGAGTAGTAAAGGGGGAGTAATACTTATGTTGGGTAGTTGACGTCACTCGTTCATTCGTAGTAAATATTAACACGGTGTGCCCAAGTCGTATTAGTACACATAGCTCTATTGTGACGTCATCTCGTCTGTACGGATAAGGAATTATCCTCGCATCGCTGCCCTCACGTGACTGATGCTCCTGGGGGCGGTGACTGCTGCTCCTAGGGGCGGTTACTCGTTCGGGCAAGAGCGCTCCGAGAGCAACGTTAGTAAACCCAACAGTTACTCTTCGGCGTCTCTGTCGTAAAAGTGACTGTTATCGTAAAGAGTCGTTTTTTTTTGGCAGGTTAATATGTGTTTAGCGGTGGGCTTAACTAACACCTTAAAATTGTGTCAATTTATTTGAAAGAGAAATTGGTGTACAGTTGTAACACAAATGGAGTGTATTCGATTAAGTAATCGTTACGTTGTTGTGTAAAAGATCCACTGATCCTACCTCCTTTTAAAGTTTTAAAACACGAAGAGTTGTACGCGTCGCGTGTGTTGATCGAACTGGTTTGCGATCTACGAATACACAGTCGTGATCGTAGTCCACTTTATCTTTGCTTTTCGTTCACTTTTCAAGGTAAATGAACAGATTCCAGTAACGTATAAGCTTTATACATGTATATCGCGTACCGCACTATAACGAGAGTACGTGAAAACCACCGTTTTTTTTTTTTTTATTTTCCTTCGAGTCGAGGACACAATGGTGAAAAATTGTGTTGCGTGAATCACGTGCCAAATTCTAGGATTAACGAAAATGTATTATAACGTACGTATATGCTCGCGAACCGAGCGATTATGTAGGCTTGCCTTAACTTAAGGACCGTTCATTACGAAATAAGAACATTGGAATACAACCCTCGTTGGGCGTAATCAAACATCCCCTTAGCCGTCCCCTAACCTCCCGTGAGAAAGGTAACAATAAATTTCTAACATTTCTTAACACGATTAAATAAACACTGAATAAACGAACCGTATATTCCTTTCACATAAAACCACGAATTCAATCTTCCCAATTACTACGCGCCACAACAGTGGGGCTTTCATCTATAAACTGTGCTATAACTATAGCTTTATAAAAATTTAGTTGAACCCATCCGAAACATTGCATCGTACACAAACGTTTCAATTATTTGAACCAGACAGACCCTTAAGATGACAATTATTGTAAAAAAAAAAAAGTATAAAATGCTCAAAATGCCAAATAAACGCACAAACACAGTGTTTGTATGATTTCTTGAAATTCCTATTCCTTTTTATACAGATATTATATGCAACCAGAAAGTTACCAAGTAATTGGTTTTTCATTTTCGTTAACTACCAAAAATTTGTTTCAGGTACCCGTTCATTCAGGTTCTAAAGAACGGTCCCGCAGTCGACTACCCCAGTTAACAGGCTAACCCAAATAAATAGGCGAGCAGATATATTACAATGTAGAATCTTTCGGAATAGTATAAAAATATTCCATACGTCAACGGAGACGTAAATCGAGCAGATTTATTAAGTCAAACATTCCATGTACATAGAGTTGTATCTTGATGATACGTGCCATTATTAGGGCTACTGATTAAACACAGTAAATATTTTACAATTACAATAATTCTCGATTAAAATACATACATTTCTGTGAAACATACAACCTATTCCAGCATTTGTTTTATGTGACCTTTCGTCCTAACACTAACTTTTAATTAGTTACACATGCAATACAGATTTTACATTTTGTTTCAACAAGTAGTTGACCAATAAACCGAGAAACAATTGTTCTGTTTATTATATGAATTTTAATTGTTTGAAGATATGTACAAATACACTAATTAAATGTAAAAATATGTTTACAATTAATTTTATTTATAAACATGAATATATTTATGTTATAAAGAGTATAGACGACAGCTATGTTAAACTGGTTGAAACACGTATCCTGTTTTTTCTTTTAAATCAATACAAATTTTAAACATTCCAATCACAACTGTATATAAAAGTATTTTTACAAAACCATTAGCTCCAATAATAGTACACATCATCAAGATACGTTGCACAATTCATATTTAATATCTATACTTAAACATGTTTTGAAAAAGCATACACACTTTTTCAAAACCCAAGAAAACAATGCTTGCACATATTTCCTTACAATAAAAAAAAAAGGTAAATTAAAAACATTTTAAAGTTGATAGAAAATCAAGATTACTTTCTTCCACAAAAATATAAATACAAGGAAGAACATGGACATTACTTACGAGACTAACTTTACTCTTAAAATCAATAAAAAAAACCTTATAAATCTTTAAGAAATTCGCATTTATAATATTGATACTATAAAATGAAAAAAAATATAAAAAATGTAAATGAAGTGAAATTAAGAACAATGTTCCGTAATATTATTGATCAAAAATATCATTAGTTACAGAATTTTAAAAATTCTTAATAATTAATGGTACAATTTATGTCATAAATAAATATTTTCATAATTTTGATAAAAAAAAAACGTGAACGCCTTTTATAAATTAATCTAATATATACTAAATAGAGTAAAGAACAGAAGTATTCACATAGCAAGCATATAGAAATAAAAAGATTATGTTTCATGGGATGGTAAATCTATTTGTGCACATGATATCTGATACAATACATTTACAGACAATGTTTAAACCTTTTTTAATATAATATGGCTAACTGAAGAAATTGTAATGAATTGATGAACGAATTATTATGATGAACGTAATGTATTCAACAAGTTTGAATAAATAGTAAATCTATAGAGAAAATGTGAAATCGTTAGATTCCACAGATATTCTCTGCACTCTTTATATATCTAAAAATACCACCAACAAAAACTTTGTACTGTACCTCTACGTAAGTCTGAATTACATATTGTTGCATAGAAATTAAATTAATCTGGAACATTTAATACTATCATATAAACAACATCACCAATATAATAGTAAAGTACAAGGAATTAAAGAGAAGTAAAATATTCACTAAGAAAGTGTTGTTAGAAATTGTAATAATCCTAATAACTGATGGAACTGTATGAATACTTCTGTCCTCCCACGGCCTGTTTTATTACTGGCGCCTAGAGTAATGTCTTTTAAATAAACTCGTGTTTGATTCTGTGGATACTCAGTTCGTCAATACTGTAAAATGACAGATTACAAACTTCACATATAAAATTATGACTGACGCTTATGTGTAATTCATACAGATCCTGGTTGACAAATGAAATAGAATTCGGGCAATAGGGGCAAATAAGCTCTGTTGTGGGTTGCAATGCTACTTGGCAGGTTGTAACATTTTTCCGAACCGGTATTCCGTAATCATTAGATGGGACCTGATAAACATCGCTTGATCCAGAATAATCAATACCGCTCTGTGAATAAACAGTAACACAGCAATGTTACTTAAAATGAGTGTTTTTGTCACGGCACATTCGTCTGAAAAAGCCAATATACCTGTGATTGCTGCATGGATGGATCTGAAGATACTGCTGGAACATTGTACAACGATGGTTGATATGCTAGTTCCTGGTGCGCCTGTTGTTGTTGTATATCTACCGTCGATACGCTCGATACAATAGGTGCAGTCTGATTAATCAGAATCGACATCCCACAGTTCGTGGCATCCGCACAGTAAAAGAAAGGAGACGTGTCTCCTGTTACCATTTGATTAGATGTAACTTGTTCACTCGGAGCAGTCTTCAGTAAATAACTACCGTCAGGATTGGGATAAAACCCAGTCCTGGGAGGATGTATCCTTACTTGGCTCTGATTGGTCTGTAAAATCGGTTCATAATTTTGATTACTACTTGTGACCATTATTCTATTCGTTGCCAGACTGCCACCGATATTCACAGTGATGTCCCCTTGTGTATCTTGTTGTTTATACATAGAGCCTGTATTGTACGGTTCTTGGACTAGATGACCCGCTGAATTTTGTGAATTAAATTCAGCGTAGTTCCCATGTCTGTATACACTATTGCCTGAATTATTTACACTTGATGTTTCCGAAGGTAAATCTAATGAAGACGTTATGTTCAAATGCATTGTACTATTTACAGGCGTCTGTGAATGTTCATTATTAGAATAAACTGTTGTTGAAGTTGTTCGCGCCGTCTGTCCATCGGAAGAATTTACTACAATCTCCATCGGAGCTTCTACATTCGTTTGGATAGGAGAACATGGTGTAGCTACTTTATGAAGAGTACCACGAGGCACTAGTCTTCTACAGTACGTTGGTAAAGAAGCAGGAACTGGTATGTGAGGCTTTGTAAATACTACTTTTGTACTGGTTGATGTTCTTAGATGGGTCGAAGGAGGCTTCGAAATCGGAATTGCTTTCACTGCTTGTACAATTCTTGGATTAGTCAATGTGGTCTGAAGAATAACAAGCTTCTTCTGTCCAGTACAATTTGTAGACTGTTGCAAACGTAGAGTGTTTGCTGGAATCTCATCTTGATAACTGTTCTTTCGTGTGGTCTCAGCTGTGTGATTTAACAAGTGCTCCTTCATACTGTCGATAGATTCAAAAGTACATTTGCACACTTCACATACATGCAAGGTATTCATACTTCCTGTAAGTTCTGCTAAGTTTTTCACACGTAGAAAACCGTACTTTTGTTTTATAGAAGTAGTTTCTTCTAATTTTTCTTCATTCGCAGATAAAGTAGATTGTGGGTGATAGATATTATTCGTAGTTGTATGAGAGCCTGATGTTTTTTCTGGGTGTGTATCATTCTGCGAGGTTGTTGAAGTTACTGTGTCTTTGATGGATACAGTGACTGGTAAATTTGTTGCAGTTTTCTGTAAAGGTGTTTGAATTACAGACTCTTCAATGAATACATCAGGTGTAGCCCTTTCCGGAACTGGAGGAACACATACAGCGGACGGTACACTTAATGTAGCGGCAGATGCAAATGTATTTTTTTTACATTTATCTACCACTACTGGCTCACTGTCCAATTCTGATTGTTCTTTTAAATCTATTATTAACTCGTTATCAGAATCCCCCTCTTCGTTTCCTTCTAATATACTGATTAATTTCTCTTTATCCATATCTCTACTAGATTTCAAACATTGCTCTGTCTTCTTTTCTGTTCCCTGAATATTAGTATTTATGTTCTTCAGTACGGGTTTTCTATTGTGCTTCTCTGTGGTCGACTCTGTTGGGTTTGAAAGATCAGAAACATTATTTGTATTTGGATTTAGTACAGAAACCATCCGATTCGCTACTATATTAGTCTTCGTACTTCTTGTCTGGTTAATTGTTTTATGTATAGCATTGTGCTTACTTAAGTCTTCCTGAAATTCGAAACCAAGACCACAAAGCTTACATAGCAATTTAACCTCCTGATAAGTTACTTTACAAGACACTGTATCATCTTTCATTTCAGACCTATGCTCTGTGACATGTTTCAGAAAAGTACTTAAACTATTACTCTCTTTTTCGCAATACATACAAGTAAACTGTGGTTGACGTGTGTAATGCTTCAACCAGTGCTCATTAAATTCGTCTATGCTTTCAGTGAGTCCAATACAAACGTTACAAATATATGTGCTCTTTCCAGCAATACCAGAGAGGCACACAAATTGAGGCTCAGAGGCAAATTTGTGCTTGTTCTTCATGTGCATATATAACTCCAATCTATCACAGAAAATACCATTGCAGAGACTACAGATCATACGTAGTCTTAATTGCTTTTCCACAGAAACGTCTGCCTGTACATTTGGACTTTTTGCTAAATAAACAGGTTTGCAGATCTGATTATGTATTTTTAAATATTCTTCGTTAACAAAAATCGTGTTACAGTTTGAACAAATATACTCTGCAATGTATATATAACTATCCACCAAATTATCCAGAGCAAATTCGCCCGGTTTACATGCTGCCACCTTTTTTTTCGATTTCAAGCTTATCACAGATATTTTTGGAAATGACTGTTCGCTGGCTACCCAGAAAGGATCCTTCGTGTGTTTGGACCAGTGAATGTAAAAGAGCGAACCGATTCCAATGAACATAACTTTGCAGACGTTGCAACGAAAATCCATAGTACAGTTCTGCTTGAAACGGACATGTATCTGTAGATGGTGGCGCACATCCTGAACCGAAACAAATATCATACCACAAGTAGCACAGAATAGGTTTGGGGAACGGCCATTGCCCGGACGATTCTGATTACAAACTGAATATTCGGGAAGACGATAATGGGTCTCGAAGCATTCTATGCTTCGAAATAATACTCTGCAAGTATGACACAAAAGAACTATCTCGATCTGTAGACAACTGAAATTAGTGTCTGATCTATTGTGACACTGGCACACTGTAAATGATTTTCTAGGGGCAATTGCTTTAGCTTTTTCTATTTTACTTTGTATGAAAAATGGTTGAATGCTATTGGTATTGTTTTCTCCGTAGACAACTGATTTCATCGATTTAAAGATATCAGTTACTATTACATTGTCAGTAATTGTAGCTTTAGACTGCACTATTAATTGCTCATCTTGCTTTTGTATAATCGATGATTCTATACGACTTATTTTGTTTTCATCGGTATTTTCCAAGGACTTTTCAATTACGTCGGTTGTATTGTTCACAGCACTGTTGTTCGTTTTTTGGAGTTCCGACTCTTTAGCCTTAGTCTCGTTAAAGTTTCCTCCTTTTATGATCTTTTGTCTTGCAATTTCAAATGCCTCTTTCAGTTCACGTTCCGTGTGCAAGAAAATGTGCGCTGCTAGATCCATTCTCGTTGGAAATTCACGGAAACAGACGCTGCACTCCGTTGTCAACTTGGATGGTTTTAGAACCCTACGTCTTCTTGTAACATTATTTTTCTGTTTTGCCTGTGTCGTTTTACTCCGTGGTTCCTTTCGCAATAATGCTGGTTCGTCTGTAATACTAGTAGATACAACTTGGGAAGTATTTTCTTCGTTAGAAGACTGTTGTGGCTTTGTTCGTTTTGCTACCGAAGGAAGAGATACTTTTTTTTGCACTATCTTTGGTTTCGGACTCTTTTCAACTGAGCCAACAAGTTTTGATGTATGTGAAGAAATACTGCTCTGTTTTTGCATGTGCTTGCTTAAATGTTGTTTCAGAAAAGAATAGTTCTCAAAACAACGATCACAAATAATGCATTTGTAACCACTGAAAAATTCTTTACATTTATTAGTCTCCTTTTTCTCTACAGTTTTCTGGCATGTTATTGGAGAAATTAAGAAATTATGAATATCTGCTTTATGACTGTCAATGCTTGCATCTTTAGACTGCTCCATTATTCCACAGCTTTTCTTTTTTGGAGAAAGAATTTGTTCAATATTCTTAGATGAATATCCACCCGTAGAATAACTTTTTGTTTCCAGTGATTTGGAAGCAAAAGACTGCTCAGATTTTGTACTTATACGAGATCTAACATTGGTTGTCCGGTTTTCAAAACTCTCTGTAGAAGAGGAAGAATTTAAGATTTTGCATGTAGATTCTATCAAAGAATCCTTACATGAAACATCTGCCTTTTTCGGACTATTATTTTCAATTAGATTCGTAAGCTTGGAAACTTTGGTAGATTTCTTTGGAGAAAATAAAGAAACAGAATTTTCCTTCACATTACCATCGGATATTTTCTTAAATCTTTCGTCCTGATAGCTGTTGTCCTGTGTTACTGTAGGACTATTAAAAAGGTTATTATCTCCTAAATTTCTTGCCTTTTGCACAGTTACTTTTTTGTTTGGATAAGACTTTATCGAAGCACTTGACTTGATTGGACTATTTTGATTTTCACAAGAATCTGAACTCGACGCTAATCTATCTACAGAGGATTTAGCAATACCACAGTCATCAGATTTTTCGTGTTGAGCAACAATGTTCTCTGCATAAACTATATTCGAAGACAAGGATTTTGAAGATGCACACATAAAATTAGAATTCAACAAAAAGTTTTTATACCTGTGGTGTAATTGTTCAATTTCCATGGCTGAATATTTGTTACCGAACAAAGGTTTAATATGTTCTAAATTTATTACCAACACCTTTAGTTCTTCAAACAGTTTGTATTTTCGTATTAACTCAGTGTCAGATGTAGGTGACTCGATTGTTTGCTTCTGAATTTCGACAGTTTCTGTGACAATTTCCTCTTCATTTGCAGAACTTGTATCTTCTACCTTTATACAAATATTATGCTCAGTTGTCTGTACAGAATCTACTTCTAAGGGCACTGAGTTAGAAGCACAGTTTTCTTCAATGCTTTCAATGCTTTCATTACTTTCTTGCAATGTATTCTCCAAAACACCCAATTTGCACTTTGCAACATCTGCAATCTCAGTATGAACATTTATACTTGCATTCTGGACATCTATATTTCCCTTCTCATTGCCTACATCTTCACTCACAACATTTACTTCTTCATTTTCACCACTTACTTCTTTATTTTCAACATTTTGTTTTTCATAATTAGCATCTACATTTTTACTTGCATCCTCTATATATGCTTTATTAAAAAGATTATATAATGTAGTAGAAACACTTGTTTTTTTAGACGAATTAGTTTGTAATGATGAGTTTTTATTTATAGACTCACTCATGGCAGTTCTTTTTCTTTGTTTGTTAAATGCATTGTGTCTTCCATCAGCTGTTACTGTTCTTTCCCTTCTCAAACTCAATTTGTGTCTTTTCGTTTTTTTTGGTGTCCTTTTCCATATGTTATCATCTGTGTCATTACTAGAATCACTAGAATCACCGAAAATATCGTGAAACATGCTTTTAAACTTTCTCTTCCTTCTAAAATTAATATAGGACATATCGCTGCTTGTAGATTTGTCAGTATCATTGTTCTGAATTCGTTCATTTTCTTGTAAGTCTTCTTCTACACTAGTGTTTGATATTAAACTGTCAATTTTACTGTCTTGAATACAATCATCTCCATTGACACTTAATAGTGTTGGTTTTAATGGTAACACATTTTTTTCAGTTTGAGTCACAGCTATATCCTGCTTAATTGTTGCCTGTTCAATTGTTCCTGATTGCTTATTCGAGATAACTTTAGCAAGCGACTGTGCTATTTTATTAATTACATTGTCTATTCTACTTAATACTATAATGGGCTGCCTAATGGTTTTCAACATATCTTTTTTACATTGTTCGTGATTACTAGGTGTCTGTACCTTGGAAGTTTCTTCAATTTGTAATTGTACACTGTTATGTAGAGTTCTAGAAACTTCATTATTTGATCTTTTAGGAATATTTGTATGAACATTATTACCTGCTTCTTTGTCAACTTGTTTCCATCGTTTTAACTTTCCATGTCTACAGAAGATTTGTCTCTTTCCTGGAAGCCTGTCTTCAGATATATTATTAGACAGATTCTTCTTAGACAATTCTTGCAATTTTGTCTTTGGTAATCTTGTAAGGCTCACAGACAATGGTTTACATAATTCCAAAGGATTCTGTTTACGTATAAACTGACTATTACTTCCACGTATAAATTTGTTGCTTGAAGAATATGATTTGAATTGTGATGTGCTTTGGGCATTTAATCTTTCCTTCTGTAATCTTCTAAATGTATTCTTTGGAAGGCCATCATGGGCAGAGATATGTGCATCAACCATTTCTTCATCTGCCATTGCTATTAAATATAATAACCAGGTCAATAATAACCTTTAAAAAAATATATAATATATTAATAATGTAAGCTACCTAAGTACAAACATTTGAAGTATATTATTCACTTAAGATTTATGATATCTCTTCATAAGTTAATAAAATTGTGATTCAACTTTTACATAATATTCTCCATCCCCAGTTACAAATTTTATGACCATTCCATATAACCTAATGTATTTAATTACACAATAAATAAAAATAAGTAAAACTAAACATTGAATTGAATACAATATATCTTACCTATTCCTGGTTATAGCAATATAAAAATTGTAATACCAACTAATTAAATGTAAATTGACTTATAAGGAATAAAACAACCCTGATAACATTACAGTAAAATATTTATCTGTAAGGTTTTTGTTTTCTTTCGAACCTGACAGAACCTTTGATAGTATATACCGTTGGTAATAAATATTTCTATATTTACAGAAACAAATAGATTTGTTGAATATGATATGCTTGAAAGCTAAAACATTTTGTACAATGAAACGAAATCATACCTTAACCCTCGAACAGCCGATCGTGTTCAACGACTTGCCTCCTCTTTGTTCAGACGTTTTGGATCAAAAGTGATGAAAAGTGACTTGGTAGTAAAAGTAAGCGATTCGTGGTTGCTGGTGGTATACATTTATGATACTCTTGTATGAAGGTTTTAGCCTTTTTATACTTTATTGCGATGGATCGCCGGACTCAGGGAAACCATCAGAAGCCAATAAATACATGAACTGGGTTAGTGTTTGTGGAACGCTGACCGTTCTGTTCGTTACTGCACGTTTCTTGAAACATAAAATCTGTTTATAAAATAAATGTTTTATTCTTAAACTTGAATTTAACTTTTATCTCAATCTAATTACAATTTAAATTTAATTATAACTTTTAATTCAACGAAATCAAACACAATATTCATCAGAACTTAGGAAATACATATTCCTGATAACAAGTTGTGTACAAGTTTTGAGCAAATTACCAGCAAATAATGATAAAAGTTGTCTTAAAAGCCATAGTCATCTGTTTCTGCATTTGGCTTTGGTTTTGCAGGCAACGTCAGCTGACAAAATGGTAAAGCAAATTGGCAGCAGGTCTTGCAACAATACTTGTGTCAAATTGGGGGCAAAAGCAGAACAGTCTGTACGAGCTAATTTGCTGCCAATTTGCTGCCAATTTGCTGTCTATGTGCGCGCAAATTGTTTATAGCAAATCTTCCATGAAATTTATTGCCATAACTTAATAACAGGCATTGGACAAAATTTGGCTTTGCAGGTTTGGCTGATTGAATGGTTTGAATTTTGTTTCTTCAAAGAGATGCATCACTGTGTATGTACCGGCTGTAGTTCCATACACATATTTTAGATGCGTATCAATTTCAAAATTATCACCATGAACATCAGTCACATTAAACTATTATACATATTTATTTTATATTCATAACAGTTCAATAAAAGTATTTTATTTACAATTATATTGATGTCTTATTTTGCAAACTATCAACTGTATCATTACCAGTATTAATTTATGTATATATCTGGAGTAAGGAAAATAAATACAATTTTTCTAAAAAGATGTAGGAAATGTTACTCAACCATCTGACGGCGATGACTGAATTTATTCTAACCCAGGATTTCAAGTTTCGTCTAATGGATTAGCTTATGATTAATTGTTGTTTATACCGAGTCTAGTACAGAAACAAAAGTGTTTCGAAAAAGTCTATTTGAAAAGATGCATAGAAGTCCAAACAGACACGACTACATACTGTTGTTCGTCAAGCCACGAAAACTGTTTGTCTTCCAAATGTTAAGCCTGTTAAACTAGTCTAGTCGCCATGAATTTTCCAAGTAATACATTATTTCCAAAAGCAACTAAATACATATGTAATACCAGAGGTAAAATACATGCCTTTTAAGGCAAACACTTATTGGACACTTTCCCTTGTGCGAGAAGAAGGATCCAATGGATAAAGTCGAGTGGGGCACTTTATCCACAAATAGTGTGCACAGTATTCCCCCTCGACCAATGTCGAGCATCTTTTGTTACGTCACATGTTTACATGTACATATATATCCAAGTACATGCACACATACGGTCACATACGGTGCAGGTTTCTACGAGGTTACCTATGCGAAGTTTTTTTCGTATACATTGAACGAGCCTGTGTCGAGCCTTCCACGGTTCTCTGCATCGGTAAAACAATGTCGAGGATTCTCCAGTATCCGTTGATAATTAGACTTGAAATTTTCGACACGTATTAGTGGAGACACGAGAAAATGGGAAGTTACGCGAGCAGAATTGCGTCGCTGTCAAACAATGCAGTGCATTCCGTGTATCGTAGTCGTAAACGAAAATGCATTGAGGAGGATGACTTTGACTCTGAATCAGATTACATCGATCGCACACTACAAACGCCGAAAAAGTACGTCAGATATTAACATAAATTGTCGCGATTATTAATCGGCGGGTGTATGCATCGTGTTGTCGATAGCGCTGCATAACGTTTGCATCATCGAAGAAAATAACTTCTTGATTTTGCAACAAATGTATGAATGACACACAATGTCGGAGTTTTACCTTTTTCCCCCACATTTCGTGTGCATTGTTACTAATAAGTAATTTTATGCGTTTTCAGAAGAAAATTACTGACAACCGCACAGTACATATATAAAACATTATTTCAAGAAGAAAAAGGCAGTGATATAACTGTGCTCATGTTAGGGAAAGCATGGAGATTGCACAAAGTTTATATGTGCCAGGTAAATTTATTGATCCCATGCTTTGTATGAGTAATTATCAGAGTTGATAATCATTCAATTATACAATTAAGCCCAAAATAATGATTTATTATATTTGATTTGTACATATGGTGTCCAGAAGCAAGGACACTTGTTAAGGATTTGATAAGAAATAGATACAACTCTTAAAAATTTTAAGTCCATTTTGGTCATTCTTTCTTGCTTCTGCTACATGTATAATTAATTCTTTTGACATAAGCTATCATTTAATGTTTTCTAGACAAAAATAAATATAAAAATTTACATAAGTTATATATCACAAATGTATATTCACATGTTAGGTAATGACAACGTTATTTATTATGTTTGATTATCAACCCTAGTAGCAGCATGTTGCTTTTAGTTGTACAATTTTTTTTACACTATTAATATACAATGTGTATTTACCTTTTAGAGTCCATATTTTGCAAGTATGTTCTCAGGATCGTGGAGAGAAACAAATGAGACAGTTATCAGTGTAGAAATTGCTGATCCTAACATCACACTGGATTGTAAATAACATTAGTAAATACATTCAATGTTTCAGTAATCAACAATGAATAGTCCTTGTAATATGATATATTTACAGCTCTTTTGACAGTCTTTGGTTCCTTTTACCAGGATGAAGTCAGTTTGGAACCTAAAGATGTTATATCAATTCTGGCCACCTCTACCTTATTTCAGTTGCAAGGATTAATTGACCAATGCACAGATATCATGGTGGAGACTACAAATATAAAGACTGTTGTTCCTTATTACAATGCTGCTGTGTCGTACGGTGTACCAGTAGTGAAAGCAGCAGCAAAACGGTGGTTGGAAGTTAATCTTTTGGGCTACGGATGGCTGCATTTAAGTTTTTTAAAAGAAATCACGCCAGACCTAATGGCTGAGTTAATTGCTAGTCCTGACTTAATTGCTATGCAAACTGAGTTTTGCATATACATGATGTTACGAGTATGGTGAGTAATGAAACGCAACAGTAAAAGTTTCTCCTGTATACAAACTTTTTGTATGCTACAATAAACTCTGCTACAGGTTATTTGTTCATGTGCACAATAAAGAAGAAACACTGCAAATTGATGAATACTTTAGAAATCATAAATGGACAAAACCATTCCTAACAACCGAGGAAGGGAAAGAATTTGCAGCACCTTTCAAAGCTTTGCGAATGAAGTACCTTTTGTTACATGACCAGGATGTTAAAATTTTATACAGTGACAATTTAATACCACACGAATGGTTGCATGATGCGTACAAGGAGCAGTGGTTACATTTATTAAGAATAGACGCGAATAAAGATCGAGGGTAAGTTGAGAAATTTGTACAATCCCTAAATGTGTTCCCGATTTATGCTTAGGTCAGTGGGCATAGTAGAGAGTCTCGAATATGTGTCTTCTCTTTTCTTCCCTTCCTTTTTTATATCCAGCTTTGTGGGCAGAAAACTCAAGCTGAAATACCTACTCTCATGTTTGTTGATGTACTTTAGGTACCTATAAACACTCCTCAACAAAGTAGTAATGTGGTGAAACACCGATTGAGAAATAGGAGTATCTGATAACGCTTTTTTTTAAATATTACAGACCAAAACAAATGAGCGAAGAGGAATTCGCCCGTGAATGTTTTCGTTGCGGAAGGTGTATTGAAAAGGTCGGCGAGCATATTTGGAGATGGACAGCATTTCATTTTGGGCTAGATTTGGTTGTATGTTTGGATAGCACTACTCTGAGGATCAAAAGGAATCACAGGCTGGATACGGACCACATTAAAGCCAATCATAGCAAACACAATATAATTCTAAAGTGAGTAAATTTGTTAATTTACCCTGAAATATAAACGTTAAGTTATACAACGTAAATCGCTAATTTGGAAAATATGTGTGTTTCAGAGTAAGTTTAATTTCATTGGATGAGCAACGCCAGGAGAAACGTATTCAGAGCTCTGGTATGCTTAGGTTATCACTTCATAAAAATGAAGAAGTAAGTAACCATTAAGTTTTCTCACTTCGGTGCATTAGAATTTTATTAACAAAAAATCTGATATTGTAGAAACAAGTGATGTCTTTGGATAAAGAACTTACTTATCCGTTGTATATATCGGTCAACATGCAAGTGGCGACACCGTTTGTATCTACAGAAGAGGAAAAATCAGCCGACATAGTCATATTTTCGGATACTTAGCAATCCGAAAGTTCAAAGACGACAGGCCTCGACGAGTGTACGCTTGTTTCAGATATTGATTCACCTGCTCTGATTTTATAATACTTCGATACGATTAATGGTCATCCAGAACTATTGGGATAATAATCTGTTTAATGTAAATTTTGTCATTCGCTCATATAACATTTATATTCGGGAGACCAATTTCTGATTAAAACATCTACAAACTCCAGATCTAGTGGACTGAATACACTTATGGCATTAGTACGAGGCAAATTTTGTATGTGCTATCGGTACTCTTGGACTAGTGCAAATTTAGAGATTTATTTTTGTAATGTAAATTCCAATACGTACTATTCATAGAATAGTACAAATATTGTTTCCAAATTTTTGAAGACTTTAACCGTTATTAGATGATTCAGCAAGAAGAGAAAGACACAAAGGAACTTAATTTCAATCCACAGTCAGGTTCGGAAAATAAGTGTGACATATTAAACGCCACAGTATTAAAGCCATTTGATTTCGTTGTCTTTTATGCATTTAAATATTTATATGGCAAGTATAATACTAATCAGTTGGATCACTTAACAAATTCATACTTTCTCATCGATGAAGGACTTCTAACAGTGAATTCGTAGACACGCTTAATCGAGTGATTCTGCGTCTTCCGGCCAGCCATCGAAACGTCGACCTTCGTGCCTTGTGAATATCAATCGAAAAAACGAATGTCCTGTGTAAACAAGAAATTGTTTCTTTTTTCTTAACGGTTAAACAGTATCGATTTTTATATGGTGCTTTTAATTTTAGAAAGCAATTACCGCACGATTGAAACGTTTACAACCGAGTAACGCATACTAACGTTCTTCGATTTCGTGACCAATGTATTCTGTGTGGTGCTATCATTTGATAAGTAAACAATTTTACTTAAAATGTAACGATTATAATATAAGAACTTACTTCACTTAGCGATTAAATCTTTTCTACATTTAATGAGCGCTCTTAATTTCAAATTAACATATTGACAGAGAAATATAACGTGTCTTACGTAGTTCCAGCTGTATTGTCATTTAGTCCTTACCTTGAGTATGGGTCTGTATAATGTGTTCATAATGAGTTTTAAAAGTAACAAGATCTTAAGTGTGTTTTTACGTTTCCAAGAAATAAAAGGAATAAATCAATGATAGTAAAAAAAGCATTATAATGTAAGAATGTATGAGGAAGCTATGCTCAAATGAAATAGCCAAATTTTATAAAAGTAATTAATGCATTAGAGTATAAAATCTGTAGCGTTGTCTGATATGCCAAAAAAACAGATGTGCATTTATGTAATATGCATATGTACACAGAGCAGATGAGGTATATATGCGAATACATACACCTGTCATCCAGTGCTTATTCGGCGTGAGATTTTTGGGGTCCCAGAGCCCCATTACCATTTACTGTCAACACTCGACGTTACTGATAAAACATGAATTCCGAGTATTATCACAAACCTCTGTGATGATACCTAATCGTTGGTAATATCTGTCAGATTGTATTCAATAAATTTTGGCGCCATCGTCAAATCGACGGAACCTATCATCACAGATGGCGTTAGGGAAGCATCGCAGGTTTCAGTGTTTCAAAACTTCGAGAAGACGGCAGCAAAATTAATGTTTCCCATCTAAAATGAATTGGAATAACAAATTTTCAGTGATAGACTGGTGTATGTATGCAGTTGAATTCATTTATTAATCATAGAGTACGTTGGAATGGTATATTTTCAGGAACTGGTTAACTAGAGGCACAAAACATATAGGTCTGGAATGTTTACAACCAAGGGACATCTGCGAAATTGTTCTTGTGTCACGGTTTTCCTGTTTTATGACCATCGTTGTCCGCTGAGTTATTCTCGAGCGTACATAATAACAATGTTATTTTGGTATATAATGTGGTGGTGAATATTCTATTTCCTGGAAACAGGGAATGGAATGGAGTAGGGAGGGGTCCTTGGTATACCTAACGATCCACCAATCACGACCCTCCTGAGATAACCGAATCCACCGATCATGACCAGTCAAAAAAAAGGGTCATTCGTCTCGGGGAAGTTGAAGTAACGACACGTGAAGTGAGCTCAGTCGTGCAGAAGTATGTAATCTTTACCTTTCACTTCTAATTATTTATACCATTAGTACCTTCCTTAGCACTCTATCATTACTTTTCTTTAATATTTATTCGATTTAGATTAAATCATTTTGAATTAATTCGATAAATGGAGAATGAACTGTCTTCGCGCCTTCTGTTATTCACACGGTGTCAATTAGTATTTACGTATTTCTGATTCAATTTACAATCTTTCCCAGCACAGTTCGAGGTCAATAATTGTTTATTTGAGACGTAATCATTCTTAATGTAATGTAAATGCTTGGAATTAACGTTTATTTTCTGTTTCAGAATTCCGGCTAGAAAGAAGGCGCCACCAACGCCATGACCGTTGACACTCCGTTCAGACGCAATTCGGCGGGAAATTGGTGAATTTATTACAACAATCAGGTAACACGTCCACTACATATTTTTATTTCATCGTGTTTTTCTTGTTTCTAACCGCGAGCATGATCGTGATTTCGTGATTTATTGTGCTAAGATAGAACGGGAATTCTGTCGAGAATATTTTGAATTTAAATACGCAGTTGAAGCATTCAAGATGGCTTCCTCGAACGTTTCAAAATTTAAACGATAATACTTCCACATATTCATTTTTCAAATACTTGCAATTTACTGGTATCTCTGTCGCGAAATTGTTTAACTATGGTTCTAGTTTTCTATTCTAGTATTCTAATTTTTTTTTTTTGGTAACCATTCAACACTTTATTGGCAGAATATTCTCTGTACATAGTGATCGATGCGTACAATGTAATATTGATATCGTACGATGATACAAATTACAATAATTCCGAATAATTTTAACGCAAACATTCTCGTGATTTCTGTCAGAACGGATACCTGCCATATATTTTGTTAATCGAACACAACATACATATATGCGTATCATAATGAAAAATATTAGTCAAATTGATGGTGTAGTACGCGAATGGAATTATATTTCCCCATTCCCTTCATCTCTCCCTCTCTTGCTCATTCCATCTCTTTTTCTCTCACTCGATATGCTTGAATATGGGGGAGGGGGGCAGTGTTGCCAGTAGTTTTATTGAAATATGTTAGGTGTGATAATGAGTGGACGATATGTATGTAATGAAGCGAGTTTCGCCGAAAGTCCGTGGATCTTGCGTTTTCACGTGGGAACTTTAATCGAAACGTTCACAAGAGAGGTGTCGTTTTCGTTCATTTTGTTTTGCTTTTTATTTGTTAAACGTCACAGTTCCTATGGTCATTATGAGGTCACGGTACCATTGACAGGTCAGCGAGGAGAGGTTTCGTCGATGTTCGTGTTTTCTATGGACATATCTTCGTGTATAAGGTCAATGTCCCCATTTTTATTATTTATTTATGCAACAATCGACAAAAAAACTTATTTGATATAAAATTGAAACCTCCCTTTACAATTTAATTTTAATAAAAGTATTTTTAAAAACATTTTATCTTAATTATAGGTAATTTCATATGAAGTATAAAATGTCCCTATTTCTGCTCAGCGAAAATGGAGATGTCGAAACCAAACTTTGGCGAACAATATTAAAATACAATATAACAATATACTTATTAAATTTATTTCTATTAAAATACTGCCATCTATTGTACAGCGGGATGTAGTATTTTATACGGAAATACTGAATGGATTTAAATAATTTTTTGTATAACTACTTTGTTATATCACTTTTTACATTAAATCAAAAATATACGTACCGAGCAGAAATCGGGACGTGATTAGAAATAGGGACATTGACCTTATTCCCTTCTTATTTCATTATCATCCGATGGATCGATTTTATTTGCGCCGTGCACGGAAATTACCGCGGTAAAGGCAAAAGATTATTAGTCGATAATCGAGATCCTACTGTGTATCGGAAACGACAAAAGGATTTTTGTATCTGTAATCAGAACGGATTGCAGTAAACGAGTAATAATTTTCAAGATCGATATATTTCTAGAACCTTCGAAAAAATCGGTAATTCTTCAATTATTCACACATCATTCACATTTTCGAATTGAAACGCGCGAATCGAGGGGGGCAAGAAATCATCATATTTGGTTTTACTTGGCCGAAAATATTTTGCCTTCACTCGCGCAACAAAGTAACGGGCGAGACGGGGTGTGTACTAATATTTTCGAATCGATTTGAATGTCACGTACAGACGAACAACTAGTAGTTACAATTTTTTTTGTTTACGTCACGTTTATCTTAACTTTTAAGCAAAAATAAGAAAGTTTAAACCTAAACGATCGCTAGGTATATCTTTGGAATATTTTACATATCTTTTACCATCTAAAACAGCCAGAAGGTTCGCTAAACTAATTGAGCGGAACACAACGAAATATTTTCAGTTATTCTCTTATTTCGTTTCTTATCCCGTGTGTGTGTATGTTTGTTTTCGCCCGTTCCGTGTCCATTGCTCCAGGTGTGTGATTGGAACCGAGAGGGAACACTGGAGCCTCTTATTCCACGGACACATGTGACATTTCGAAAAGTTACAATTATTCTGACGTTAACGCAGCACCAGATTAAGGAGGCCCCTTGCGTTTATGTCAAAATGTAATTGAATGAAATTTTGTATAAACAAATCGGATCAAAATTGTTAGAATATAACGAAACGTTGTTTGTTACAATCAAGCGTTCGTATGATTAAATGTTATTTAATTTTATTTAGGATAAATTTCAATTTGTGAAGATTTATGTATACCCCCATTTTTCAATCAAGGGGGCCCTCGAAGGTTTGATAGCTCTGGGCCCCAAAAATTGCTCCATTATTTGCTGTCAAATTGAATTCGGTCTATGCTATTGTCGTCACGGATATTCCGATTTTACACAGAGGTAATACTGTCACCAGAAAATTCTTGCTGGTAAAGATGAATTACAGGCATCAATCTGCAAAATATACAGTTATAGTTAACGGTTTACTGTTAAAGTGAAAATAGATTGAACCGAAGTTATTGGAAATGAAGTTTTGTCAACGAATTTCGTTCCATAAGAGTTTATGTGTTTACGTGTATCATAAACACCTGTAGGATCCAGAGACTTCAGTGTACGCTCGTGGTTTACCGTAAGAGCGTAAAGAAAGAAACAAGATGATACGTAGACGCGGATTTTATGCATTCACGGAATATCCAAGCGGATGAAACGCAACGAAAGAAAATATTTTAACCGAGACTAATATTATTTTTTATCTTACGGTGATCCAACGAATGCCTTGACTCGGATAAAACAGATTTTTCTATTTACAGCGAATACTCGATGAATGCGACACGAGCAACGGCGTTATCGCAACCATTGGGGGTGTCCCCCTCTGGAACCAATCAGAACAGAGTAAACAGAAACTAAGCAGAGGTTCGGTTTCGGGCAAAAAAATAAATTTATGAAGTTCTGAAAACAATTTCCGCCCTGCCATAAATGTTCAGAGACGGATCCGAGTACGTCGCACTCATAGAGACACGACTGTAATAATTTCCATCGCGCAAAAAATAGACAATCTACCATTAGGCAACACATGTTCCCACGAACACCACGTTTTTTGTAGCAAGCCGCGCGTGCAACTGACAAATTGGACTAGTGTATGTATCAAAAAGAACGCGAGTCAGTGGTTTTTTTTTTCGAGGGTCTCGAAATTCCGTGCTTGTTCCGTACGCTCATCCGCAGTCCGACGTGAACCGAAAAATTTAAGCTGTAATCGAAAACGCCGAGCTCTGCTTTTTCAATCGTTTCCTTTCGTACCCGGATAGCACATGACGCTTAATGACGTCTTGAAGACGGGTTAAAGGCGCCTTAGACGTAAAATAGCCATAAAATGGACGTCTTCAAGGCGTCATGTCCTATCTGACTATAATTCCAAGCACTTTCTAACGAGCACTTGCAAGTCACCGTTAC